AATATTGACGTCGCACATTATTGCTCGAAAACATTCGAATAAGCTTTCCAATCATTAGAGGTAATGCCGTACCTTATCTCAGTAACATCCATTTTAGGATCTGTGGCCTTCTCTGAAGTAGCCATTTGATATTACTCCGAAATAACTATTAATGTCACCCAAGGAAAAATCAAACACGAGGGTGGAAATACCAGGTTACTTTATTCTTCTATACTGCGTTACATGAAGACGTAGCTGACGAAGTTAATGTGCGCTATATGGTATCATATATATTGATATAATGAACAACACATATTAAGTATCATTTCTGTACCATCATAGTACAGTAGAGCATTTTTCATAATCACAGTATTTGTGTGTGCATAATTAATCGCAATACTTGCAGGAGGTATGCAGTAGTTACAATGTAAATTATGTTGCAGTCTCCTATACCGTACTTTGCTCGCCTACGAAGTTAATACAGTGTGATTTCTGCAGCCATCGCCTACACTACATTTTGCGCTACAGCAGTCATCAACAATAACCATAGTTGCATTTGTGCATGAATCTAAAAAGCAGCACAAGTTAATCAAATAGAACATACTTAAGTATTGCTGTAGTAAAATTTACTTTCGTTTTTACGATTATACATTAAGGCTTTATAGTACGCCACGTAATTCATAAGAATACTGGCTAAGATTATACTCGATTTTCGTTGCCTTGATGAAGTGCGCGTTCAATCTATCTATTAACAATAGATGGTAATGAATTTTACATAGACACTCCCATTTATCACTAGATCATAGTTACGACGTAAATCGGAGCGGTTAAACTTGCAGGTAGTTCTATTAGAAGCATTATCTGGTATTAAAAACGTACAGTACATCATAACTACTTGCTTATGTAGTATTGAGCAGTACATAAGCACGTATAAATGCTATCCAGCATGAAAGACGATGTCTCTAAGAGTATACATATTAGTATCCTAACAATTAAGTAAAGTACCGTTACTTAAAATTTACTAGCAAAATATATGTATTATAAACAATATAATTACCACTTCCTAATGATTTTTAACTAACTTGAAAATTACTTTAACCGAGACCTTGCGCAAGATCCAGTACACCGGAAAATACTAGAGTCCCATTACCTTATGACGCTCGTATGCAGGAAGTATAAATATTTCAAGGAAGTTTCGGCGCGTGAAAGAGTAATAAAGAATAAATTCTAGATTTCATGTCATAGGCAATAAACAAACTCAGCGTACTGTAAACATCAACTTACGTACTATACTGCACAGCATATCCTGCCTTCGACTCTGGCGAACATACTGCGGTGATTTACGTGTATGGCATATACCCGTATATCTGTATCAGAAGGATCCATTAGGTGATTTTAAAACTACGGCAAAAAGATGATGTTGCACTAATATTAATCACTTCATTTAATTACAGCAGTAATCAAAGATAGATTTCTTTAACGTACGTTAATGTTTCCTAATGTACGACTAAAAGACAACTACGGTACCTACAATATCTCGTTATTTATTACTATCCCAAATACTGAATGTTCAATTAGCGCAATATGTTCATGCGGTATTTCGCTAGCGATATAGCAATCGAGTAGTATTTTCCACATAAACATCACGAGTTTGCCGCTGTTCTATCCTTTAGCCAGGTTCGTTAGGCGATTTTAAAACAATGGCAAAAAGATGATGTTGCACTAATATTAATCGCTTGATTTAATTACTGCAGTAATCAAAGATAGATTTTCTTCAACGTAACTTAATGTTTCCTAATGTGCGACTAAAAGGCAACTACGGTACCTACAAAATCTCGTTATTTATTACTATCCTAAATACTAAGTGTTCAATTTGCGTAATATGTTCACGCGGCATTTCGATAGCGATATAGCAATCGAGTAGTATTTTCCACATAAACACCACAAGTTTGCCGCTATTCTATCCTTTAGCCAAATCAACTATTATAATTACATATTACTGTATGAGCTAGCTTTAGTGATCGCTAAGAATTTACTACGTTGCAAATGTTTTAACCTGACTCTTAATATTTAAGATACGCCGTACGGATCAAAAGATGCTCGATTTCATAATAATTAAACTATCAGTTTAACCTTATACTGTAACATCTTACGGAATTTTAATACATGATTCATTCTAAAGATTAGACTGCAACTAAATAAAGTATAAGTACTCATAAAACTGTATCTTACATTAGGATCTCTCTGTATACCCTATTAACTTTGCAGGTTATTAAAATATGATTTAATACGAAGTATGCCATTAAAAAATAACTCCAAAATGGAACTTGCTCTGATATCAGAAAAATAAATAATTAACATAATCATGATATCATAAATAACTGTTGAATTACCGTTGATTCATAAGACTTGAGTCATTGAGCGCAATAGTAATTACTTTTACGATTGTACACTAAGCATACTTTAGGACACCGTGCATGGTTAGATCTAGTTTGAACTGTTTTTTTTTATTTGAACTTTGATACAACCGAACATCATAAGTGTACGCATAATAGCAAAGTACCACATACTAGAATTATTAGATGGCTACTGAATCTACTTAGCCGCGGTTATGCGGTAAAAAATAAATTGATACCGCTTTCAAAGCATTTGAATATTTTTCTTCAACATAAAATCGAATCGTAATCTTTATCCAAGTTATGATTTATCATTGTTACATAATCTTAATTTTTTTTAAGTATTACGATTTTGTATTGCAAGGTATAATTTAACCGATATAAAACGTATAAGCGTATACGATGTACGTTAATTATACTGATAGAATCTTTTTGTCTATATAATAAAATTTGCACTTTAATTAGAGAGAATCGATTTAGAATCACTGGTAGAATCTATCTTAACTTTTTTAATCAGTTGTAGCAGCTTAAGACTACTTTATGATTAGTTCAATTTTAATTCTAAAGCTAAGATACCACTGACAACTCTGCATAGTATAGGAAAGGTGATACAGTTTGGCACCTTTGTATCGGAGTAGTAAAGAATTCGAGAAGATGAGTTAGTTATACGGAAGCAAGATACCCACACTTCTGTTACGGAAAGTCTAATAATATTTATAATCTATAGCATAGTAGTAAGTATTTTTATACCATACAAACTAGCCACCTCTCCGATATCCAGCTGTACCTCTATCGTTAATAAACATTTTAAATTTTTTACTGATACTTTCCTTAGTCGATGCTGTAAATTTTCGCATTTTGTATTAATATCTTTAGCAAAGTGTTAATCTATTGATCATTATAGCGACAGTATACTTTTCTCATAATCGTTTTATTGGTTGATATTTGATTATTTAATATAAAAACACGATTAAAAATAGCTGATTCTGGTCACCAGTTTCGTTGGATCGAAAGAGTTATCGTGATTACAGTAAGTTTAAAATCTACTGCTCCATGATTACTATAAATCTTATTCTTTTCTACAATTTTTTACTAGCAGTATTAGAAGTTTCTGTAGTACCACCAAGTGATCTATAAGTTGAGAATGCTATTTGCACAGTTGGTCACGAGAAAAGCCGTAGTATTTTAAATTTTACCTTTAATCTAATGTCTGGCTTAGGGACGGTTACATGTCGTAGTAAGGTTGACTTGAGATACGATATCCTTGGCCGTTTCAAACGTTTAATGAAGACTAAAACTTTTTACATCATTGATTCTTCCATGACATAGGGCATTTTTTAATGGTAGGATTCTGTGCGTTAGGTACTATACTCACTGTTAGGATAAACCTGTAACACTGGGAGTGCAGTATAGTATTACTTAAGAACCTTATTGCTCTGCTGAAGCAACCAGTAGTAAATTCTCTTATTATAATTATATATTATCTGCACTTGCCTTGGCGTAAGATATTCACGGTAAATCATGCTAATTGTGGCTATTTAATGAAAGTACCGAATAGTATTTCTATTCATCTACTTTCAACTCAGTATGCATGTATAGACAGAATATCGCAACTTTTGTTTTACAATATACTGTATAGTATGTAGTGATACAGACTGCAATATCAAAAATGTGATGTATTCCGTCATTCCACTGCACTTATAGTACAATGTTGTAAAGTACGGTACTACACACCAATATATCGAGTTGTAACCGAAATGTAGCGAAAGAGTGTTAATAGTAGGAAATACCAGAAAACCTTTAAATGATCAGGATTACTGTATTAGCTCTATAACCGTCAAAAGTAGAATAATTACTTTACCATTAAGTTCTGCTGACGTCAAAATTATAAGGCATCTTCTGTCTGGAGTACTAACTAGAAAAACCTTTACACTTCAAACAAGTTCAGTTAACATCGATATCAATATTTATTACGAGGTGCCATTAAACATTTATAATCGCTTTTCAAATGTAGACTCTCGAGAAAGTTGTAAATCCTTACTGGAAATACATAATACTGTACAGTACAAATTTACTATCATCTGAATTTTAAATTAGGAATTGAGACTAAAATTCTCAACAGGGAGACAGTAAGTCTCTAGTTGGTAAATTCCAATCACAGTTCTACGTTACTTTCTGCGAGCTCATTATTAGCACGAGATCTTGTAACCTCGTTGGTGTACCATGTGCTTGCTATTGCAAACTGAAAGTCTATCAATACTTATATTTGTAGTACCGTAGTTCGTGACAGCTCAAATAAAATTGGCCATACTCTAATAAATCTCATACTTTGTATTTTGCAGACGGTATATCATCACTTAGCGCCACACCCTCACAATATACACATTCTAATAATCATCGATGTTAGGCAACTTTTGACGATGCAGTGTTTGCCAGCTTTCGTAAAAAAGAATTTACTATAACGATTTCCATCTAAAACCCATATCACTATCTTCTAGTCTAGGTGCTCCTAAGGTCAACAAGTTGTACTTCATGTGTAGAATCAAGGCAGATATGTTTACATTCCTACATTTGAAATTGCTGCGTATTAAATTATTGCCAAAAATGCATTCAAGGGCAAATATTTTAAATATTCAAACCAACCTCAAATAGTATTGGATGACTTGGATGTGGGTGAAATCCGACTTCTTTACAATTTCCAATGATATCTAGACCATCATCTCTTGTTAAAGTAAAGTACCCTGTCCTGAAGAATTACAATATATCAAGTCTGGTGTGAAGCCATCTAACTATGACTACCGTTAATACAATGATGCTATCTGTAGTAGTGCCTACTGATTATATCTTGGAGCACAGACAATAGCTATGGCCTCTGGCATCATTATTTGGTATGAATATTGAGTATGTAGATCGACGCTTGATAGAAAGCTAGTTTGGGATGGGTGAGTCTATTTAACAAAAAAGCATCAATTTTATCTCTTTACTGTCGAAAGGTAAGTTTTAATACCCCATCAGTTATCACAAGAGCCTATCATCTTTTCTGTAGCTATCACCTAGATTAGTGTTTAAGCCGACCTAAGTGATTATTGCTACTTAAAGAGCAAGAATAAAATGAATTTAAATTAAAGCTTGATATTCTCTCCTTATGTTGCAGATACTTAATTCATTTCATTAGCAAAATGTTAAAATAACTTAAACTAACGTGAATCCAACCAAGAGTGACTAAATCTCTACTGTCTTGATAATCGAAAATTTCTTCCTCTTCCTCAGTTGTGCAACTGTCTGCGGTTCCGTGCTGCTTTGGTATTATCACGTGAGTTACTTGAAACACCTCCTTCATCTAGCATTGTTTATCCCATTTAATTTGAACGTTACAGGGTTAATATTTGCCACAAAGTAACAACTATCACAAACCCATCTATTATTAATTTTAAAAATTACCAAATGGCCGCTCAATATTCCGCAAGTCTCAATGTTAGAAGCAGTATTTTTTTGTACCACAGCTAAGAAATATTCAGGCAGACGTTCAGGAATTTTAACACACCTCAGCCCATCCAGAGTCGGAGACACTGTAAACATAAACGATGCAGAGTATTACTTTACCGTAAATCTGTGAAATAATGATGTTTCTTATCATTTAGTACAACCATTTTCTTTAAAAACGACTATAAAGAATGTTTATTGGAAAGATAAGGACCTATCTCGTTAATATTTGTTGCAGGCTTTAATGATCTATCCACTGAAGGCTTCCTCTGCTCGAGTATATAATTCGATGAATCGCTATATATTTGTTATTGTGATAAAAATTAAGTGATAGGTAAATTAACTAAATATCGCTTATTAAAAATAAATTTATACAGAATAATTTCGGTAAGATTAATTTCTTTAGTTTACATGCTGCTGGACGATTCATAATTCTGCTTTGGTTTGCAGTAATCGCTCATAGAATCCTAAATAGAGAGTGCAAATATGTCAGAAAGACGACTCAGGTTAATTTCGACCATCTATACAAAAGTTACGGTTGAACTGCGTGCCTCTTCTAATAGCAAAATCATAAATTAATAGACAGTATCACAGTGTAACCGTCGTAATGCGCCTACTTCAGGATGTTGCTCCTCAATAACCATCAAAGCAGACTGGCTATCATCCGTTACAGGATCCATGGTAACAGACTTCAAATTATAATCTTTGCATTCCTCTTGTTTGCTTTGAGCTTCAGCTAATTTTGCAATCTCATTTCTTTTCTGTCTTTCCTGAATACCACAAATAAAAAAGAAAGATATTAATTAAACTTGAAAGCAAATATAAGTACCAACTATTGCATCAAAATATTTACCAAAAATGACTGATACTCCGTAGCATACTGATCTGAAAGACGCTGTTTTATATCTGATGCCAAATCCAATGCCCCGTGAATTTTCTAAGATTAGAATTTACGAATTTCGGTAACCGACCTCCTTATATCATTGTGATAAAATATACTTATACTTATATCGCACCCTCTGGTATTAATGAGTAAACCTAAAGTAGCTAATTCCATAGCACTTAATCCGAAATCCGTACTTAAACATTACTTTTGAATATTCCTTCATCCTAGATGCTTCAGCTTTTTTGTATAACGGATGTTTCGGTAATTTTTCAATAAATAATCTACATAAACATATAGAAATGTTAACGCTAATACTGCGATAAGACAATACATCCACAGTACTTTACATTTTAGTATATAAATACAACATCTTACGTGATAAACCTATGCAGTATTTTGTAAGCTCTTTCTAAGTCACCTTCCTTAGCATAGGCTCTAGCCTAACAAACCATAGATAAAATTTAAAATGTAGATATAGTATTTCAAATTACAGGACTATCGCAACATTCCATTCTGATACTTCGTGATAGTCAATAAAATATATATAATTAGCATAACAAACGCTAAGTGAAGGGCAGGGAAACTCATAAATGAACTTAGTCCTCAAGTGACCTATTGTCACTCCATATTACTCACTCAAAGGCCTACTTGCTGACCTTGGCGCTAACCCATAAGTCGATTTCCTCTTAAAATATGCTTAATTACTGTAATCAATTAAATGAGCAATAACATAATCAAATAATCAACCTTAACAACAGCTAAACTTCTTGTTAATATTACAAACTGTAACTTGCATATCAATCATCGCGAAAAGATCAGCAGCTAATACTACCGAAATTTGTAATCAGAACAGTATAGCCAACGGCCAGTTACATGCTGGTTATAATTTAGAGTACTGTATACTAACAGGTATGACAGTGTTCTAAAACTAATATCAATTAATGATTAATACGATCAGAAGTCTCTTTCGCACAACATCGTGTGTGGGTAAGGCTAATAGTAAATACGGCATATACTCGTACTGCATTTTATTACTTATAATTTTTAGCTGTACTGTGTAACATTTTACTCCATTGAGCTTACAGTAGTACGAGTACTGTAGTAGTATACTATTTTTAATCACGAATTCTATTTTATTTATTACAGAAATCATATTTGCTGTACCTACGATGATTTTTAGTTTTTCATAACGTCAGTAGCGCGAAGCGTGCGCACTAGTTTACTAATCGAAAAATATATGATATTTAACAATCCAAGGCAGTAATGAATAACTTTGACTATTAATTGTAGATGTAGTAAAACGGCGCTAATATCCCAACATCTTCAGATTGATATTGTACTATGTTTATCGGTCGTAACTCAATAGCAGTCGTAAATCACAATCGGCACAGTAAAGTACATGCCGTATTTGCAGCTTCATCCACAATAATAAAATGCTCAGTACAATGGACTTCATTCAAATGAAATGTTATTTAGTGGCACTGTTATAAAATACCAGAAATAATTACTACTACAATATTATATCGCAGTATATGACATTACACATACCACTTTCTCCATTTGAATACCGCTCCTAAAATATTTTATAGGGGAAATATCTTTTTTTATCTCAACAGAAGCTCCAACAGCAGACAGAGACTGCAAACGCTCAGCTGGAGGAGTTGCCGATTCTGATGACATCATTTTAGATCTGCTTACAGGATGACGGTAAATGTAAAGTACGAAGGCTGTTGTGAACTATTTATAAACCCTTGATCCACAACTGTCTAGATACAGTACAGTACAGTACTTTAGAGCGGTATACAGTATACTGTACTGTACACTAGTCGGCGATTTCCTCTCAGAGAGGAAAGAAACACAACGCTGCACCAATCTGTACTATGCGGCCTGTAATGTACAGTACAGTATACAGTACTGTACGTACACTACAGTACAGTAGTACTGTACTGTACAGTAAACAGTACAGAACTGTATACTGTAGCAGCCACTCCGAATGTACCGTACCGTACTATACAGTACTGTACTGTACAGTACAGTACTTGCCGACGGATCGCGGCAATTAATTCATCGGTACAGTACTGTACTGTACGCGGTACAGTGGCACTTAAACCTCGCAAAAGTTTTAGCATTTCTTTTTAAATTAAAAGAAATCTCAGCTGGCACCACGGCACGTGTGAACTTGCATACAGTTGTACACCAAGTACAGTACAGCGCAGTATTTTTACACTACAATACTGCTCTACTATAATTATAATAATACTTACTGTATAAATATAATTCACGTTGAAGCAGTGTCACTGTAGTTGAAACACTAAATTGAATCTTTTGAAGGTTTATTGGATCGTTGCAAAGTACAGTAGGTGGTACAGTACTGCATATTGAATCTGAAATGGAATGTGAGCCACAGGAATTAGAAAAGGAAGCTAGTACTCAAGAGGTAATGAATATATATATAATTGTCACTGTTATTCCTTCTGTTCCTTATTTGTAAAGCATGATCTGCTTGTATAAATTAAATACATTCTTCAATGCATGTTCAATAGGTACAGCAAGCAGAAAATAAAGTTGTTAAAGATAAAGATGCAAAAAACATTGAAGGCAGTTTTCTACCAAAGCACCCGCTCCAAAACCAGTGGAAGTTATGGTATATTAAATACGACAAAAATAAAAGTTGGGAGGACAACATGAAGCAAATAGCCTCCTTTGATAATGTATGTTTAAGTGTAGTTTTACAAGTTTCCATTATTCGATATACTGTACCTACGTATTTTTTGCTCTACTACTCAACCGCGAATTAATTTTTTTCCTTATACAAAATTATTTTAACCGATTTGAAATAGGTAGAAGACTTTTGGGCGTAAGTGCGATACCGTCCATGGCTTATCTAAGAAGTCTATAGTGACTAGCTTTATAGCAATATGTCGCCAATTGCTTCGTGTTTAGTTGCTCTATAATCGTCCTAATGCAATTCAATTTATAACTTCTCGAGCTATACACTAAAACTTATATTAAATTATGAAATTGTTGGCTTTATTTCCATGATAGACTTTTTAACCATGTTGTTAAGCCTAGCGACCTGAAAGCTGGTTGTGATTACTGCTTATTTAAGGTACGATGATAAAACCCTTAATATTCGAGAGTACATATAGCCTTTCCAAGGAAATTATCTAGAGCGTCCTTTAGAATTATCAATATGTGAATCCCATACAGATAGTTACTATAGCAATGTGAATTTTAAACATTTTATTTGCATGTAGCGACTGGTTAGTACGGTAGATACGAAACATATCATGTTATACTACTGAATCTTTGCTATCTAATTTACTCTAATTACCTTATTAGCTGATTTGCAATGCCGTAACCTAGGTATCTCATCTAACATGTTACCCGTACTGATTCGTTTAGGATAATATCTCACCAATGTGGGAAGATGAACGAAATAAAAAAGGGGGTAGATGGCTACTACAGCTAGCTAAGGATAGACGAAAGAGTTTAGATTCTCTTTGGCTTGAAACTGTAATATTCGCAGGACATTTGTGCTGCCGTTTTTTTGAATTTGAACTTAATTAAAATCTTTACCTTTATATTCAGCTTAGCAATAACACAATTCTTATGCTCGTAGCTATTTTGTCTTATTGGGGAAATGTTCGGTGATAACGGTGACGATATTTGTGGAGCTTACATCCAGATTAGAGGCAAAGCCGATAAGTTAGCAATCTGGACTACAGATGCAACTCATAAAGACAGAATACTTGGAATCGGGTATACTATGATTGTTTTCTGCTTTATTAGAGTACTATTCTGATGATTTGATTTGATAAATGATTATTTTTGTGATTCGATATGCAATAGGCGTCTTTTTAAAGAAAAACTATTTCCAGGATCCGCTCATGATAAACCGCCCCTCGTATATGAGGTATACTACAATTGTCTAACGCAAATCTGTAATTTATATTGCAGCAATTTTAGTAGTACTTCCAGGGACTTCTATTCCTGATACTTCGTAGTTCAAACTGTTTGCTAAATTATAATCCCTTGAAAATTGCAGAGTCATGTCGCTACATCAAACAAGACTGGATCAACCGCTAGACATATGTATAAAATTTAGCGCTTGATGGTAGTAAACTTATTTGTTATTCGAGTGGTTATTATTATCGGTTAAATGCCATATGATTGTGTCGTCGCATGTATTTTGCTTTAAGGTGATATCGAATTGTTAAGACTCAATGGACAGACAAGCTTTTTCTATTAAATATCATATAACTATTGATAATAATGACGGCTACTACAACAACAGAGTAACGTGCTTCAATCATACCATAGCAAAATTATTAGTAGTATTGACACCCTTCGATCTGCACGTATGCACGGCGTACGGATAGTCTTAATAAATGAGTTAAATCTATCCCCTAGTACGCAAGAGATGTGACACGCTTAAATCCTACTAATTTTACCGAATTGACCGTTAATGCAGACATAATACTTATTCTAATCAAGCAATTTGTTTCTGAAAGAACGGCCTATGTACTACTTAGTAATTGCTAGATGTCTTTACGTTGAATATAAATATTTACTGTATATCTTAGAGACCATGACAGATTGCTTGCGAAAGGATGGGCAAGTGCTTTATGGTCTCAAATTTATCTTTTGTATTGGTTGTAGAATTTTATGCTTTAATTTGTAAAAATTGGTAATAAATTTCCGATTTGCAAATGCGTTTGTCTTTGTATCAATACAACACTACTGGATGTATTTTATTTCGTTAAATCATTGCGACTATTTGATCACAGCTTTTAATGATCTTACATTTTAAATTTGTTATTACTTTACATAAATGTATTAAAAATCTATAACCGAGCAAAAGTATGATGGGGCTTAAAAACCGGGGAACCGCTTTAGCTTCGTAAACATTGAGAACTATAGCAGTACTCAATAAGGAATGACCTATGGTATAATTGGTACTGAATGACTCTGTTTCACGGCAAAATCTTTAAATTAATTTAAAATCAATCAAAAATAATAATAACATGCATTACTTGCGACACCATCTAGGCATTTCCAGAGATTGCAGCAACTGTTTCCGTTATCTTAAATTTATTACTTTCCTGGCAAATGAAAACAACTAATTTTTGCAGTGCCTATAAAAACTGCCGTGCACGCTATTTTCTAGCGTTCTCCAAAATCTAATAAAGTAATCAAGCCAGTTACATTTCCTACGATATCAATTAACTTTATTTATCCAAAAGATCGAAGAGAACGATTGGTAATATCCATAGCACATTGTTGATTAATTTATCGATTACCATGAACCACTAAATTCTCAAAATATATACTCGTACACGTGTATATTTAAACAGTAAAACGGTATATCATTACCGCAGCGATATATACAGTACCAAAATAAATCGTTTAGCTAAATTGTCAATAGTACCTTACAGCAATGATCGCGTTTAATTGACAGAACTGACAAATGATTAGATATGCTTGTTATCAAGTACTAATAATATATTCTGGAAACCTAATATTAATATTAAATATTAGTAACCACTTCTCTCAATCTCATATATGGCTGCTACAGGCTACTCTCGCAGTCACTACTGAATGCCCCTGGTAAGGAAAGGTGGCGCGGAAGCTGCAAGGTCGCTGCACCAGCATAACTACGTCCAGTTCCAAGTGATTCCTCAGATAGTGTCCACTTGTTGCAAAACGGATCGTAGAACTCGACAGAGTTTAGATTTTTGGATCCATCATCACCTCCAAAAACATATAACAAGCCCTCAACAGTGGTAACAGCTATAATTTATGCGAAGACATTTAGAAAATTATTGTTAAAATTGCTGTTTAGAAAATACTATATGCACATTAAATACAGGTAACATGTTAAATTATCCAGTGTGATAGTAGTAAACTAAATAACACCTGCATTTCGACGACAAAGATTCATTTCCGCCGCTTCAGTCCATTCATTAGTAGCTGGGTCATAAAACTCTACACTTTTACGTACATCAGGTCCATCATGACCACCAACAGCATATAGTAACCCGTCTAAGACAGCTGAACAGATTTACGAAATTCCGGATTAGAGAAAGAAAGTGGAGTTTACCGGCATACTACGAAGTTTGCACTTGAATATATTTACAAACACTCGATATAAATTCTAAATCGTATTTATCAGAATTCAAAACCAATGCACTGACATCTAGGTCAGTTACGGATGAGCATTTTAAGGATTAACCCTAACCCTAAGGCACAAACGAACATCCTTACCAACTCCTGCACCGCTTCGCCTTACTTTCATTTCACGAACGAATCTCCACTCGTCTAGTGCAGGATCATATTGCTCAACCGAATTTAAACACTGCCTTGATGAGCCATCATACCCACCAACTGCGTATATATATCTATTCAAACTAGCTACACCAACACTACTACGCCTCGTATTCATTGGACTGATATTTTTCCAGCAGTTCGTAATGACATTAAAACACTCGGCACTATTCAAGCCAGTAGCGCCATCGAATCCCCCAATAGCATAAATGGAGCCATTCAATTCTGCAACACCTAAGAACAAATTTAATCATTAATATCATTTAACAATCCGTACAGTTAGATAATCAAGCAAGGAACTAACCTAAAGTACTCCTACGCAATTCCATACTAGCTACCGGCTGCCAAAGATCCTTAATAGGATCATAACTGTCGACAGTCCGGACTCTTAAAGAACCATTAAAACCACCAACGGCATATATCAATCCATCAACCACTGCCACGCCTATCATTATCACAGTTATATAGCTATTTTTAGAAATAGAAATAATTACGAACTACTGAACATCCACAAAACTAATACCATATCTTGGAATACATATCAATCAAAGGGAATATGACAAGTGATTGGACCGAAGCCGACGGATATACAGTACTTGTACATATACACATACCAGCGCGACATCTGCGGCTCGTCATTGGCGCTACATCGGTCCAACTATTACTTTCTCGATCAAACCGTTCAACACCTTTTAACGCTTTCGGCGCCTGTCCGCCAATCACGTACATAACCTAGACAAAAATTGAATGTGCCTCTCTGATATTTATTCAATTTTATTCGAACTATGTACAGTACTTCTAAATGCGTGATAATGTTAGAAATCCGTCCCTACTAACCGTGGTACTAGAAAAAAATTTACGAGGCCTAGTACGCGGAGAGCGATAGGAAACACGCCGATGATTAGGGAGTAAATGAAATTTCATAGCCTCAATTAGGAAGTCTTTACATTCTAAGTTACTACCGTTTAGTAACTCCGATTCCACTAAATTTACAAGATACTCTTTAGGAAGCAAAGGCAAACGAATATATCTAAATAATTCAGCCATATGGACACTCCGATGCGCAATATCATGCTGAACCCATTTCAACACAGCTTCGAAAATCTTTCGAAATTGAAGTAGATAGATCATTTTATTAACGATGTCTATTAGTCACTTAGGCTAATAGCGAAGGATCTAATGTTAAAATTCAAGCAACTACACGCACTTTAACGGCTATTTTATCCTACGCAAAGTTGAGAGACAATCTTATATCGCGTGCAGCTTCGTTAAATTCAAGCAGCATACATTTTGAAGGAGCTTACAACTAACCTGCTCTTCGCAAGCCACCCGTACTCCATCATCCGAAACCAACTCACAGATTTCACTTAATGGTAGATTCAGAAACTCTTCAAATTCTACCACTTCAGTAAATGTACCTAATGCAAAATTATGCGCTTTTACTTTGAGATCATGACAAGAATGAACGTCGGCAAAACGGCGGAACCCAAGACAATTCGAAGGATGCAATTTAGAAAGAAGAAATTCACAGCAATTTTCTCGTACATCATGGAGCAGTAACAAGCTTGCCGCAGGAAGTAGAGCCTGAAATGTTTAATCGAATCCAGGCATTATCACTAGAGTACTGAATAATCGGAAGTACTCTGCTACGTAATACTTTGACAACGTTATCAATGCATTCAAAATATTAAACTCCAATTTTTAAAAAGAAGAAATCTACTGCAGATCTTAAACCATATGAGTAGGTTCTACATATGGTTTTTGTTGGGGACCCACGCAGTTAGATATGTATATATCCAAAACTGTTGTAAAACATAACTTTTTCAGCATTTCCATATATCTCGAATTTAGTAATTATACAAATAACGCACAAAAATTTTGAATGGCATCGCTTAGACAACTGATAAACTATAAATTGACTGACTAATTGCATATGGGATTAATAATCAAAATGTGCCATAGATGAAAGATCTTATGTACATTATAACCTGGACATTGGCCTCCGAAATTTCCACTTCTGCAGTATAAGCGTAATGGATAAGAACTTCTAAAGCATCCGCATCAATTTCGTGTAGTGTTACACTCGCTTGTCCTGATTCAATTAAATTGGACGTGAATAACGCACAAAAATACGGAGAGCAAGCGGCAAGAATAATTCGATGCGCTTCTATCTTTTTATTCCCTGAATATATTGTCACGTCACACAATTTTCGTTCCTTCCAAAGGGAGTAAATAGCCTATAGAAATTAAAAGACAATCTTTAAAATATATTCCATGGCAACAACTAAGCTATACATATAGCAAGTGCAGTTTACGCTATATGTTTTGACCGTTGTTGTAGATATTAGTATCTAACGTATACATGTGTTCTCACGATAATATGACATACTGTACAGTACATGCACATCGCGTAAGAAATTTATTACTTTTATGATTATCTGCCTTCAGTTCGGTGTTCACAACTACCAAAACACTATTAATTTGCTAACTTAAGCAATACAATATAAACTTTTAATTTTGCCGTAACTCTATCCATTTAGTTGGAATACGAACAGCTAAGAACCAAGATTGTTACGTTATTATTAAATTACCAGTGATGTCAACAAAGATATGGATTTCCCATAAAAAAAAAACTGCAGCTGACCACTTTATTATTATCACAATATGCTAAATATATTTCCGGACAGAAATTCATCAACTAGTAGAATGAGGAGTCAGAGACTATTAACTTCCCATTGGCACCTGATCTTTTTTTCAGTAAAAATTATAACTATCTATCATTTACAGTATTACGATACAGAAGAACTTGTGAGCTCTAATAGTAAAATTTGACGTAGCAAAGTACCAGTGATTGACCTTTTAAACTCCACAAAATGCATGTCATCAGTTCTTCAACTGATCTAATACACAGTATCTATTACTCGCAAAGTATTCACAATATTAATAAACTACAGATTAATTAATTCTATTTACGTTAATTCCATATTAGCAGTAGAGCATTCGCATTAGACTGACAATCCAGTGATATTGATCAACCGAATATAAATCGATAGTTGGAAGATCAGCTAATCTAAAGTTATTAAATCTGTCAAAACGCAAGCTCTGTATAGGTGCTATCTTACAATCTTAGCAAATAATCATTTATCTGTACTGTACGTACTGTATATCTTTGAAGTTAGTGGTTTGTTCAATGCACAGAATCGCACCCGTAAATTGGTTTAACAGTAAGTAAGATATAATTAATTTAATTTTTATTGCATAAAGTAGTGATCACAATACTCGATATACTATATAGCGCCCGTACGGTGCTGTAAAATCTGCATAGATTAATCAGAATAGCATCTTAGTACATACCTTGTAGGACTCATTCTTAAAATTAGCACTGTTGTAAAGTTTGCTAGACATGCTTCAATCAATCAAATCATAAACATGCTGCAATTCACGATCAGCCATAAATAGAAATAATATATAATAATTAGAACTTAAACTTATCATCCATTTTATTATCTTAACACTTTCACATTACACAGTAATAATAGCAGTGACTCACTTCTGAAAGGCACTTAAGTACTCCGACTGTACTGTACAGTGTACACTGTGCAGTATACTGTACTTTACAGTACATTACAGTACAGTACAGTACTGTATAATGGAACTGACTGGAGGTACAGTATAAGGTTTTACTCTCAGACTCTCATTGCACTGTACTGTACTGTACTGCACTACTACCGTTTGTGAGTTCAGTCATAATGAGTGAATCACACTGTAGATTACTAAGAATACAGTACAGTATACTGTAGTAAAGGGAAGGAAGGGAAAAGATAATTCAAAATCGCTGATATGATTATACTGTACAGTACAGTACTGTACAGTATACTGTACGTTTATCGCATAAACATCCCTAATCCCTTAGTAGGGATTCCCCCTGCATAATGTACAGTACTGTACAGTACAGTATAGTACTGTAGTTCAGTTCTGAGTAAAGTGTACTGTACTGTACAGTACAATCCGCGGTCATCAATCGCCGTTGCTAAGCAACGAATCTAACTCTTCTCCGGTATATGTTACAGTACAATATTCTCCTGAAAGGAAAGTGGATACCGTACTTGTTAACTCAGTAGTCCGCAGACACAAAAAAATAGCAATGACATTAAAGTCAGTACTGAATAAGCCATAAACTGATTGTGCCAGTTCTTAGAATTCATCAGATTAGCCACGACTGTACATAAGTTATTATTAGGATTAGACATAAATACAATCTATAAAACAAATACATAAATAACTTAACAAGCCTACTGCTAATTGATGAAAAGTAATAAAACTCTGGATCGTCTATAGTCATAACGTAATCCATCATAACGATATTATCGGATGTCAAGGTACTGTATTCACATTTTTTTCCGATTGCGAATCTTAAATAATTAATCATAAACATTAATCTTATTACAAATTTTTTGTAAATATAATTGACATACACTATGTACTATTACTAACTGTAAATAAAAGAACTAAAAATCTGTAGGCATGAGTTTGTATATTGCTTCTTTAACAATACGAGTATATTGTAATTGTAGACACTTTAATTTTTCATCAAGTATTACTGCATTGTCATTAACTTTGATACACAGAAAAGCCATTACCACGTAACTGTATAGATGATAATATTGATACTTGAGCTACGCTACACGATCCAAAAACGCGATCAAAGTGACAAATTGATGTAATGTTTTCATTATATTATTCAGAGGCCTTGGTGAACTTAATACATTTTTTGGTACCTTCCTGGCCGTATTGTCAAAGGAACCTGAATCGTTCTTTTCGTATTGCAGCATAAGTTTAAGTTTAATTAGAATGGGCAAAACCATTTTAAGTCCAGATCCACATGCCACATCCAGCGTATTCTGTCGTTGATACCAATGAAAAAGCAGCAATTGAATATCCATGGTAAATGGAAAGATACGATAATATCGGAATCATAGGCGAAGGCAGTTACGGAATAGTACTGAAATGTCGTCATCGAGAATCAGGAACTATAGTAGCAATTAAAAAATTTCTTGAATCGGAAGAAGATAAAGTTGTCAAAAAGATCGCTTTAAGAGAAATAAAGATGCTAAAGGTACCAATATAAGTTGAAAGTAGATTTTATCTTAATACTATTGTATCTATATCGAATAATTAAATGCTGAGTATCGTGACATTATCGCTGATATCTTTACTAAATTAGCAAACTTTTCTATTTACTATAATTGCACTGTACTATGTTATGTTTTACTGTACGTACATGAGATATGTCCGAGATTTACATACCGTAGGGACTTCTGCATGTCACGCATGTACGTAAAAACGACACTGTAGGTCTTTTAACAGCGGAATCGAATGACTAATAAGTTATTATTTTATGATTAAAACAAAAACAGTCTCTGCGTCATGAAAACTTAGTCCGACTAATAGAAGTATTCCGTAGAAGAAAGAGATTACATCTTGTTTTTGAATATGTACATCGTACTATCCTGGATGAACTGGAAAGGCATCCTAGGGGTATTGAAGACATTAACGTTCGAAAATATGCCTGGCAAATACTGAGAGGACTGGAATTTTGCCATAAAAATAATGTAGGCATCATTTAATTGTTTATGTAGATACTTCATAAATAGAATTCGAATCACATGTTACACTATTTTACAAAATACGAGTTGAAATATCTAAGTACACCATATACAAATTGCTAAGCTATTAGAACGATTAATTACTATCAACGATAATACTGTAATAAACTTAAGTATATTTAAATACATATACTACCTGTAAATTAGCAAGAGGTACTATCTCATTATTCTACAGCGCAATACATCGTGCTGTTAAAAGACCTAAATAAGATTCATTTTATTACTTGATTGATTTTGTAGATAATTCATAGAGACATAAAACCAGAGAATATACTGGTCTCACAGCTGGGAATCATTAAAATTTGCGACTTTGGTTTCGCAAGAGTAACTACCGGTAAGTTATTAAGTACACGATTAAAACGAATGATGATGTGTGCTGTAAAAGTGAATCAATACATAAATATAGTTAGTCTACAGTATGAAGTAGGTATGGCAAAAATGTCATAGGCGAAATTATTACGTAAATCTAAACCGAAACCGATAATAAATCCAGGATCATCTGACGAAATATATACTGACTACGTTGCAACAAGATGGTACCGCGCCCCGGAGCTGCTTGTGGGCGACCTGCAATACGGAAAGTAAGTTTAATGATTGTGTAACCCGATTATGACTCAGCCATAGGAAGTCTTTTGCAATTAATCTTATTTAATGATATCGTTTGTGAATTATATAACTTGATAATTACAGGCCAGTAGATATATGGGCAGTTGGATGTTTAATTGTAGAATTAAGTACGGGAGAGCCTTTATTTCCAGGAGAATCGGACATAGATCAAATTTACAAAATTACGCAAGTTTTAGGTCGTTGACTTAGGCTTATCTTCGTCTGATGATTATATAGTTAATGATTCCTTGTAGTAGCTAAATGGAGGATAACTGCCTCATCTACTTACCCTTGTCTAGCTACAAACGTAATATTGTATGCACTGTTTTATCGATCGTAGGGCCATTATCATCGTCATTAATGGAAACTTTTAGTCGCAACCCTTTGTTTGTGGGTATTAAGCTACCTGGTTCGAAAATTACGGATCCACTTGAGCGACGATTAAATCACATACCACCATTCACCTTCAGAATGATTAAGGTAATGCAAAATAGACATAAATTTATTAATATGTTTGAAATAGTACGTAAAGCAAGTAGCCAATATCGCAATTATACTGTAATATGATGAGTTCATAAAGCGTTCTATTGAAATCTGTATCTTGTTGACGCAGAGTATTCTGAGAATTACACCACAAGACAGGCCATCCTGTAGCCAACTGCTGAATCACGAAATTTTTATAAAGGATAAATGCAATGAAAGATTTAAGAAGGAGCTACACGCGAAGCACAATTTTGAGGTCTCTAATAACGCTCTGTTACTAAACAACGTAAGTGCAAAATTTTGATTAATAGATTAAGGTACATTAAAAAGTAGCTTGCCCTTGATAGCCTGATTTATCCTCCTTGAATTAGAATCGCGTTATTCTAGCATTCCATAAAGTAAATTTTATATTTTCATGAATATGATTATCATTCCTTTTCCATGATTTTGTTCAATTATTTCATATAAAAACTTTTAGATTGTGAGTGGAACAAGGCAAGAATTACCAGTATCTGTCAAAGAAAGTAAAGGCTCTATTATCGCATCAGGCCATATTTCGACTACGTTTATACCTCAAACAACCAAAAATAGCTATGAGAAGCAGAACATCTTGAAATTACATAAAGATCTACCAATTACCGAACCCATTACTAGTGTAAAACATAAGTTTAACGAATCAAAAAATCGGTAAGTTGATGTTCAGCTTGACTTTGTAGATATATCGTCAGTCAGACGCTAGCAAAATTTAGATGCTGAAGAAGCTTAATCATTTAATAGTATCATGTGCTGTACGTACTCGCATTCCATGCATTCGGCAGATGCACCTGTAGCCTTTTAAAGCATACCCATAATCATTAATTACAACCTAAACGATTCCTAGAGATACATGTCCTGAATATGGCCCAACTGAAAAGGGGCCTAAGGTTAATGATGGCTTTCCTCCGAAAGAATTTGATAAAAACCAAAGCAAATCAAGTAGTAAAAGTAATCTATTTCCACATATACCCAGTTTGAAATTGCAATCCGGTTAGTATAAAAGATTCACATTAAGTTTGCAACAATGTATGAATTAAATATGTAAAATCAAACATTGCTTTTCTTAATGAATACTTAAACGCAGATAAGTTGCCTCTTGGAAAAATGCACTACCAACTCATTTCAAATCATGTAAAAATGTTATACTTAGATTTTTAATCCAACAATTTAATTCATCAATTATTTTGACATCTACATTCTTATTTTAATAATAGAAGAATGTCCAGAATATTCGAAATCGTTCCAATTTGCCTTCGTTGTAAGACCTACCATAAAATAGCAAGCTCATCAAAATTGCATGGTACTGTTCACTGTAATTTGATGAAATATCACAACTGTACCCAAAATGGGTATACCATACTATTTTAACCGAAATTAATCAGATAAACACTTTATTTACAAATTCTAAGGTAATCATGTCATGTGTTGCACAATCGATTTTCTCAGCATCCTGTTAAAACTGATTGAGCTAATAAACATAAATTAAATTTTAGCCACAATCTCATAAGTTGGTATATGTTTCTAAGTGATATGATCCCAATTAAGAACTATTGCAAATATTCTCAATTTGTAAACAAAGCAATTAGTCCTCAAATATTTGGAAATTAGTCCTTTTTATTTTAAGACGGAATTCCATAGCCGGACCAAATTACAATGCACTAAGCAAGGACAATTTCGCCTTGAAAATTAATGAAATCATATTCGAAAGTTTACTATTTTTACGTAAAGTTAGATATGCTGTAGTGTATACAATAGCGCAATTAACGAACTTAAATTGTAAATAAAAGTAATCCAAATGTTTTCCTAACGTTCCACAATTTTTATCTAGTCCTCAACTTATACTGCAACATAGCATAAGTATAAATTTTTAACTTTCGAAATAATCCGTGTGTAATTAACTCATTAAAATTTAAAATGATGCTAAGAACAACAAGCTACGCTTTGCAGTTAATAAAAAAATATTTAAAAATCTTTTCATTAATGTTCGACTGCCAGCTTTACCGCTTCTGCTTGCGATTCTTATTAGCCTACAACTAGACCTGAGAGAGTCCGGTATAATCCACTACAATAAAATTTACTATGTAGTACTTATAAATAAATATCAACATCTATGTATGAACTGTCCCAGTTGCCTTGAAGGGTCTAACACATAGTCTCAAAGTCTCAACCACTTCTCTATGCAAAGCTGTACTGTACTGTACTGTACTGTATATTCTTTTCGTACACTTTGCTGCTGTAAATGGACAGTTAGAACGTCAGGACTGTAGATACTGTAACGTGCCAAAAGGGCCACACTACGTGATATTGTATACTGTATACTGTACTGTACAACACTGTACGGTTTATCGTACAGTACAGTATGGAATTTCTACTACGCTGTACTGTATAGTCGGACCTGACTGCTATGTGTACTGTACTGTACAGAAGACCTGAAACGTTCATAGAATGTATGCAGTAATAAGACATTATAAACCCGAGGTTATCATTTACGCTTCGATGGGCGGTATATCAGCACTCACATACCTCCAGGGTTGATAGGCTACGCTTTATATTTCATATAATTCTACTACTTTAGTTACCTGAGCTATTATACCGTAACAAAGTATCGATATAGGAGCATTTCAGTACAGTGTAAGTATCAACGGTAAAGGCTGAATACAAATTCGAAATACAGTTGCTGTCTCTGCCTTCAGAAATTCTGCAATGAATACGAAAGTGAAGAAGATTATTACTACCCCTCTTGTCAAGAAAAAACAAAGTCTGTAAATACGTATACTCGTATTTACGTATTAATTACTGTATATAAGAATATTTCATACAGTATCATATTATGAGAAGGTAACTAATGAGTTCTATCATGGGCAATCTACAGGTACTAAAACCTTTTCCACCTCTTTGGAGGACTTACTCCGCAGAACACCAAATACCGAAATTCCCATTATCGTTGAAAGAATTGTTGAATATATTCGAAAACATGGTATTTAATTATAGCAAGATAACTATAAACATACTCTCATACATACACTGTACAGTAGAGACCCTAGAGTCTCTAGTTTGCAGTATAATCACAAGCAATAATGCAGAATTTTTCCTATTCCTACAGACAAGTTGCAGTAGTTATTTTTCTTATCGACTGTTTCCTCGAGTCTTTCCAGTACATTAAATATAAAATATTAAACATGTACACTTCAACATCACTTATCTGGCTGGATCCATAGCTGTTTCGTGTACTTATTGACATTATTTATCCTGAGATATCCTGAAGGGAGCAATTACAGTAGTCCAATGAATAGTGCAGTACGCTAGTAGGCTTCATAATAAATGCTACCTTTTAAGGTTAAAAGCTATGTTGACCATTTTGTGTCACGTCAGAGATTTGCTCTATTTTAATAATTCAAATTGCGAGTTGGTGGATCACAAATCTTAGGGTTTCAAACTCATTATTACACATTTATTGCACATATACAGTATAATGTTACTGCATGATAAATTCGTAATATAAATCAACCGCGACAAACGATAAGGTTGTATTTAGCATCCATACAACATGCACACGTTGCTTGCCTGATTAACTAACGCAAACTAAATTCGTAGGGATTAGGCATGAGGGAATTTTTCGAATTAACGGCTCCGTTAACCTCGTTGATAAACTTAAAAATCTCTTCGACAAGCGTAAGTGTGATGGCTAATGTAATCATAAGCAGTAGTCTATCATGGAAATCAGTAATTTATTATACGACTACTATATAACAAATCAGCCCTTACAATGAAACGTGAATTTCACATTCTCCGCAAGTATTTACTTCAGCTAACTGTTCGTGCTCTCTATTTACAATACTGTTCGTTCCGAATTTCTTTACCAATTAATTCCCGTAGAGGAAGATGTCGATTTGGAACAGCTTGGAGACGTGATGGCTGTTGCGAGCTTGTTAAAATTATTCCTTGTAAGTGAAAAATAACGACTAAAGACTATGATAAACCTCCCAACATTACAGATTCTACTGTTTCTATTCTATTTAGCGTGACACTAATAAGAATATTATAATTATAATATATTTGGAAGCCACATTTAGCGGTTCAGCTTAGCTTACGCTAAATGATCGCACAGCTTTCTATAAATGATATCGTTTGCACTTGAAATTTTAACATCTTTTATTAATACTCTATAAATGTAGTCATTATACACTGTACCTCAGGACCTTCTAGTCGCATTTGTAAACTACGGTAAAGCATAGTGTACTACTCAGAGACTCACAGTGATTTCTTCTTACATAGTTGTTCCAAAAATTTCGCTTTGTTATTCTAATGCCTGTTAGAAATCAATCGCTTAACATGAATAATCCACTGTTCTCTGACTTTTGCAATTTAATTAATGTTCATGTTGCTTCCATTTGATTTTTTAGTCTCAATTTGACCTTGTGATATAGCGAATGTACGCACATCTCATAATAAGAAATTATTGTAATCCTTAGATCAACTTCATATTCATTGAAGATTCCAGTGATTTAACTATTTTAGTAGCATTTTGTTGTCAGTAAAAACTTGCATCATGCGAATTCTTTTCACACTTCAAAGCAGTATAGTAATATACATTCCACCTTGGTATACCTTGTTAACATACTGCTTATCCATAATACTTACGTGTCTGATTTTAGAGAGAATTACACGGATCTCTAATACCAACAAGTACACATTACCACCTATATTTGAAACATGCGATTGATGGTAAGTCACGGTAATAATATTGCTACGGGCGTAATTAACACGACAAAGTATGTACTGTATACCGGGTTGATACAGTGTATATAATATTTAACGTACAGTATACTGTAGATAGTTTATAATCGGCAGCTATACGAAATTCCTGGCCATTTCGCAAAATTACAAACTACTCCTTAGTTTACGGTACATAGCGCTCATGATCATTGATTACATGCATACTGGTTGATACAGAATGCTACTAAACTTTATTGGAAACCGCTAAGCAATCAGTAAACTCACTACGCCACGCAATAATGATTATACAATTGCATGCTATGTAAACAGAAAACCTATTTAACTCTTGCCATTTACAGTATAATGAGTGTATTAAGTATCTCAATGAAATTAGTTTGTTAAACTCATCAATAGCACGATACTATACAACTTGAATTCACTTTAGCCTAAGTTAAAGTTATAATGTCGTATTGATATATCTAACGCGATAAATATAAATACCTAAAAATCTGGTAATCCACAACTCTAATCCTGTCACGTTATTGAAACTCCATAGAGCATTACATGCTAAGCGTAATCTTACTCCTGAGATCTATCAATTTATTAAACAAAAGTCGACATTTATTATGTTTTTAGCAATGAATTCACTCCGTGAGTGAGATTTGTAACTGATATTTATTGTTGATGAACGGTATTTATAGCTACATCAGGTTACACCTCGATACGATTACAATTTATACTTCGCACTACAATTAGTAAATTATCAGTCCGCCTTTTACCACGTTATCACTTACAGTATTACAAGCACTACTATACAGTTATTATATAAGTACATATATAGTGTTTAATCCTATTCATGCATTTATGTGCAGCATATATGTATTACGATCTATATATATATTCCCTAGTGAAGCTGACAAATTGTATAACAACAATAAATAGTACTAAATTGTTATAAAAAATTGCTTTGAAATCAATCTCTTTTACAATAAAAATATTAACGGATATGGGCTTCGGTCATACATTCGGTAACAGAAGGTGTAATGGATAAAGATCTTTGGAGAACAAGATTGAGGTATCGCTAAAATTCAATCTTAATAATTTTAATGTTTACCGATGAGTATCTTTTACAGCGACACTATATTATCTGCATATTCGATGTACTGTATATTACTATATCCTTGTATATTATTATTGATAACTTATTGGTATTGCATTCATTGCAATTTTGCACAGTACAATATTACACATTCATTTTAAACTGTGATACGAAAAGGCATTTTAAGTCAGCTTTCAGCTTCTTACGATATTTAAAAACATATACGTATTATAAATGCTGCTATTATCAATTTGTGTAGGTCGTTAGTGGAAAGTTTACCAAAGCCCAATTATAACTTATTAAAATATTTGTGTAAATTCCTGGTTGATGTTTCTTTAAACGAAGGTTCGTTAACACACCATTTTAAATTAGCATTATTACCGTTGTAGTTGCGATCTAAGAGTGTACTTGATACGACAAAGAAACACTATTTCTGTAACTTTATATTTTTTACTCTGTTGGTATATTATAGACAAGAACAGAATGACTTCCTTAGCCTTATCTGTAATCTTCGGACCTAACTTTTTCAGGTATACGGGTATATTTTATAGGATGCAATTATGTTGCCTTGTATTGACAAGCAAAGGAATACTGTATTGTAACATATAACGTATTTGTTATACGTATTGCACACAACTTTATTGATCTAGTTGAAGATAAAAGTCTTATCCAACTCCCGGCTAACTACAGCAGTGCTGTAATGTGAATTACATACAGTACTCGTATATAGATTTTAATAACGTTACTCACTACAGTATTGGTGTCCATGTACTGTTAAACATCAAAATTTTAAATCGAACTATGTTATTAACCCGATAGCTTTCTACAGCAATATTTTGTTATTTTAAGATTCTCTTTAAGTAAAAATGTCTCTGTAGATAATGTCCGTATTTTATTCATATATATTAACGGTATCAAAATTCCTATACTGTAACATTAATTAACTACAAGATATCACAAACGCTATACTGCACATTCATGTATATTTTAGAGTCTTATAATGAGCACCTTTTTCCGATGTGAAATATTCACAATTTGCTTCGTAAAAATTTACCAAGGAATCTATAGTTTCATACTAAATATTACAGGCATAAATGCGGTTACTAATTTATCATCCTTACATCCAAACCTTAAGCAGCTTAAAGGATAAAACAGTTTCATCCTATATCCCAAGTACGAAATCTCTCACAAGCACAATACATACTGTATACACAACTTATGATAAACTATGCCAGGATTTTGTCGTCTAATATAGATTTAAAGAACAAATATGCGTATGCTGCTATGTTAATAATTAATTAACGTCATGTAAGTTATCTGTGCATTCCTTAATGGAAATTACAGGTTAATAATGTGATCTTACCGCATTAAAACCAAATCTTGCCACATTACCAACTTAAGAATTAAGAGTAGTTATCGTTATCAGTAAGGTTACACTTTGTCATACCACGCTATGTTATACAGGATGAACATAATTAGACAACTGTAGTAAAAGGTATTTAATCTAATCTTATAGCTAACCGTAACTAATTGCGCCTAAAATTGTTAGATCGCCGACTACTCCAACTGGATTTATTGAACAAGAGAAACTTAATGGCCTTGTTCTTCGTTTTATTCAAGATTACGATTACATTTTTAAGGTATTCAAATAACTGCCTAACTGTAATTTCGATTTGATGAGATGCTTGGAATGTATGTTATCGGCTTTTCGCAACATTTAATACGGTATGGTCACTATCGACTGAATCATAGTAAAACTTAGTTGTATGGCTGTATGCTATGTTATTCACTCTGGACTACATCTAAACAAACAGCTTCCTTTAAAATAGCAGATCAAAGCATTTCATGGTATGGTTAACTTTGTATGATATTCCAGTTAAAAAATTTACCAATATATTATTGAAGTAATTGGAGGTTTAACAACTAATTAGTAGCAAATAATTTAATATTTACATGGTTTATCTAATCCCTAAGATATTAAATATATAGGAAAGTTTGCCTTTTCTTATTAAATCCTATAATACGACATTATTGACTATCGTAAATAAGACCATGACTTAATGTCCATACATCAAAGCGTATTAATGAAAGGTTTTATTGCTAGGCTGAAGATGAAATCTCACCTTATGACGTAAGACGCATTCGCGTTCAAGAAGCTAATTTAAAAAAGAAGTACAAAATACATCTTTCTTCAGCATTCGATAGAGCTTGCATCCTTTATATCTTTATCGTGTGCTTATAAACTATTTAAATTTAATGTAATTGACAGGAATGTATCCGTCCAGCTATTGAAATCGAATGAAGAAGATCCATCGGTTTGGATGAGCTATACTCGTATCATGTTATATTTTATGTCTCGTTTTTAAATCCAATCCTAAAGTAAAATATGATAATTTCTCCAGAGGTACACTCCAGATATGTTGAAAGAATCTTCTGGTAGCATTGGTAGACTTAACAATATGAAGAAAGCTTGATACTTATACCTGCTTATAAACTGTTGGCTTAGAACCAATCATTTTATTATTTCAGTCAAAGAATTCGAAATGAAGAAAAGCGCAGCGATAAAACTAAGTACGAACTTAATAACCAACAAAGAAATCAGGTGAAACAGAAATATCTGAAATTATTGCATATGAAAGGTTATAATATATATGTAATAGGGGTGCAGAGTCTACTAGTTATTTGCTAATTCACGAAAGAGATGATCAAGTTTGTGATGTGTTAAGCTATTTCATTTCTCATTTTTAATTCGAAATCATCATTGATAAGTTATGCCTACTTTTTTGTCACTAATTAGATGTTCAGTTTTTGCAACTGCTCGATATCGTAATCATAATCTATTTAAGATACGTTAACCCCTACAGAATATTTTGCACAGCTATAATTTCATTATTTACTACTAAGCGTATCTGTTTACGTAATCTTCAAGGACAAGCTAAGCGAAGTTTCGATCCTAATACTAATTAAAGGTTTTGATAATAGGTCCTACGTTTCGGATGGCTTTACACCTTTTCTATCACTGAGTGAAAGGTATTCCGAAATCGATATGTCTTAGAATGTTATTACAGTGTAGCTATGTATTTCAAATGTGTCTCAAAGTAGAAGTTATAAATCTAATATCCGTAGATCTTCATACTCACAAAAAACCTGCTCGTACAGTAGCAGCCACACCCACTTCACCAATTAATAGATGAGCACTATTACATTGCCATATAATATTCCAATAAACGATTATCGACAATAATCTCAAATGCTTCACCCAAGCCTCACTAAAGATTTAAGCATATTGTATTATTTCAACTGCTTTACGCACTGTAAGCCGAAAAACACTCTGATTTCTATCAGACTTACACATAAGATGATCGGCAATAGCCCTTGCTTAGCGGGTAGATTTATCCGCTAACTGTTTACATTACAAGGGGCCCATACTTAGTATCCATTAAAATTTCAATTTTTTAAGTAAGCCGCTTTTATGTAGTTACTGGTAAAAGTTCACGCAGATTTCTTGTTCAATATCTAGCACAGCCGCTGCGTTTGATTACAATCACATTAGCATGAAGAAAATATCGTAAAGCATCTTTTATAGCAGCGTGCGTACCTTTCTATTAGATTGCTTTTACCTAAGTTACTAAGATCACAACATAGCTAACTGTAAAAAACGTATCAATATGAGTTGCAATAAATGTCTAACTTTACCTTATTTCCGTTTCTAGCGGACATTCCAATTGTAGTAGTTCCTCCTTAGTTGTAGGTATTCGTATAAGAAACGACCTTGAAATGGCAATTCGCGAATGCATTGATACATATTTATATGCGCAACCAGCGTTAGAAACGGTTAGTTACATAGGACTTTACAATTTTGATGATCATCGGTAAGATTTTTATGTTTTATTCCCTTTTACTACTTAAAAATCAAATTACGAATTTCTAGGTAAACATTAAAGGTAAGCCCGAGCTTAGAGAAAGAAACGTGTTCTATCAGTCAATTAACATGAAATATTAAGAAATCATTGGATAGAACGATTACGGAAACTTCTTTCCTAAAAATTTTACTGTTATTTTTGAAATATTCAAGATGACAGCGAGTTAGAACGTTCAGACATGAGAACTAACAATTTACAGTAAGTTTTAAAAGGTCTTACTAGCAATGCTCATTGTTTATGCTACCATTTTAGTAAATATTCGAGATTGACTATTATGATCCGATTTAATAGAAACCAAGATAGTTTAAATTCGTCTCATGTTCCGAAATATTTAGACAGGCCAAATGAAGCAACTGTGAGCAACTTAAAAGTTAATCTTCTATTAAATTTAATTTGAGATTCGCATGATCATTGTATGACAAACTCTTGAACAACGGATTATTCCTGTGTTTAATATTCCACTGAAAATGTATTATTTTATCTAATTATTAAAATTAAGAAACAAAACAGCATTATAAGATTAAGTTGTACAACCAAAGCCGATAGCCGGATGGAGAGCATCAATGTGCCGGCGCCTCAATCTGTAGCCAAGACTGCTTTAATTGGTCATATGTTTGTACAAATCCACCAAGCAATTCCATATCCATTAACATCGGTTTTATTCCTTATTATGATGTCTTAAATATCCATACTAACTATCGTCAAGGTAATTGTGTGCTAGGGCCAGTAACTAAATAAGGTGCATCTACTATATTTTATACAGCTGACATTGGGAAGAGCTACTCACCATCAAAAGCGGCGATTACCAAATTTTACAAGGTTTGAAAGTAAAATTCTATCCCTTGTAACGCTCAGTGGATAATTTTCTACTCTTTTCATAAACGGGTGTGCACTGGGATTCTATTTTACGCAAGTACAGTAAACGATTGGTAAGCTTATCGCTGCATATGCTCCTGAACGCGTTACAACGATTTCTTCTTAGTACGTCTACAGAAAATAAATCGAATTTGACAATCGACATCTACTTCAAATGCAGAAACAAGATAGCCACATACCTAATGAAGATGATGGATGTGATATCTCTCAAATCATAAGGGCTGAAACGTTGAAGAACAAAGAGGTCATATCAACAGCTTGATGCCTTTCCTATAGCTAGCTTATACGAATATTAACAATTGAATTAGAATGTACGATTATAGTCCGTTAACTAATATCGTATGATCAAAGCCCTAATAATGTTGTACTACTATATGTAGCTCTGTATAATAACACGATTCTATTAGTTAAAATATCTTTTACTATTTAAATCTGACATACAAACAATTATATTTTTTTATTAACACGCCAGTTCTTCATTTATGAAGTACAGTATCCTAATATCCTAAGGAATTCGCGCTATATATACAGCATTATTAGAGTGATCTATTTGTGACCGTTGCAGAACATACATATACTCGTACTTATGTGTAACATGCTGTTATAAATACTTACATAGATCAACGAAAGTCTAAACACTCCCTCAAAAGATGCTGGCAAATTAGGATTATCCTACGGTATACTGCAGAAGTGCCGAAGAAATAATTGTATGTTTCACCGCAATAACAACGTCTTTAATGACAATCTTTATCCAGATACCTCTACCGGTCAGCAAGATTCACTAAGTGAAAATATAATAATCGCTGCGGTCGAAAATAGGTATGGGATTACTTCTATAAAAAATGATATAAAGAAACCGATGCCATAAAATTTTTAATTTCAGGCGGACAGTCTAAATTGCTATACTTCGGTACTTAGTGTACGCGTATAGTTACTGTAGTCAACATATATCGGTAGTGAGTTTTACATAGTAGTAACTGCAAACTTGAATATACATTTATATAATGAATGGTTACATAACACAGTTTGTTAGCCGCTCCTCTTATACTTGATAGCGGCATCATTTACTATTCGAGCTGTGCACACACACTTCCCAATTCATGATTTGAATCCATTACTAAACGCCTTTCGCACTTTCGACTTGTTGGCTGTTGCGCTTCTGAATAGTTTAGCGAAAGAAAATAAACGCACTGCAGGATGAATGATAAAATCTTGTATTATCATTAACCATTAGAGTTTGTACTTCTATCGTGATAAAATAAATACTTGTTATTTACTATTCGAAACTTATGTGAATATGGCTGCTAATTATAATCGGTCACATATTTATTGTACTGTTAAAGCTGCGATTATATTATTGTCAAAACAAGTTTAGGTTAGCTAATACCAGCAAATTCAAGTTTAGAATAGTAAACACGTAGTTAATATTTCTATGAATTATCTTATTTATTCATAATTACGCTCATGTGCGTAGTGTATCAATAGTATCATTATTAAATAGCTAGCTAACATGAAGCTAACGATAATTCAGCTGATATATGGGTGTATGCGCATCACAAACTCCAAAATATGATAATTAATATGCGACATTCATAAGTCAACTCTATTTAATCAATATTTATAGCCTTTTGGTATTCTTTATACTAACAGATTGTAATGTTTACCAAAAGCAATGTACTTACTTACTCATGTAACCCCAATTTTATTTACTAAAGTCACTTCAGGGTCAAAGTAGGTATATTCATTAGATCTTCGCCAAATGATTTTAAGCAAAGTAAAGTAAACTTCAAGATCTACGATTCTTTTCAACGATTCGAGTGCCGCTTATATTATATAGATCTCTAATACTGTATGTAATAAACATATCAACCCTTTTTGTCCTTAAAGATGTATGTATGACAAAGTTAATGCCATGAACGTAGAATGTATGATAGCACGATTGAAAGGTAGGTGAAAATTAAATTTTCGATTTGGCGGATGTTAGAAACAGTACGATGAAAGGTGGCAATATATTATTGATAACCTAAGCCTTAGAGCGAATTAACAATCAAGTGACTAAAGACAATGAGGATGCGGGTGTGCCTCAGGTGATATTTTGCTTTCACGATTTTTTATTGTAATGACGTTGTAATTATGCATAAACTGCTGGAAATGTCTAGGTATTTTTTTTAACAATGGGGAGACTTTACTTTGATTAAAATGATAGCTACATATATAATTAACTTACTGCAATCTTCATTAAAAATCTTAATGTACGTTTAAGAGCCTTCTCTCTGAAGTTATAACATTAAACAGTGAAAGTACTATATATTATGTGCTTATAATCCCTTAAACTTAGATTTCATTATAAAATCTTTTGTGTCCTATTAGAATTCGGGAAGTCATCTACTCGAATTGAAATTAATTAAGGAAGCACTAAAAGGTAAAGTGACACTCTTATTTTAAATGAGTGTAAACGGGAACGAACTTTGTTCAGTATAGAAATTGATATTAAGACTGTACAATGTGATTGTTGTTGCGCGTTACTATTGGGCATTACAGACTTATCGTTTATTATACTAGTAGCTGGTCATAGTTCTTACGCAGGAGTATCTTGCATAGTGTACATGCAACGATCATTATAAAGAACGTTATTCGTTCATAAATATCTTAATATTCTTATATGAATTCCTCAATGCAGTTGCAGTACAACCCTTTTTGTACACCTACTACCAGCCAGATCTACCTAAAAATTTTGCTCGATTGATTTTATCAAGGTTTAATTAAGGAATCTTCTTTACTTTAGCGTTTCAATTTGTGAGCAGTGTTATGAGCGTATTGTATCTATATTGCACTTACTACAAACTCACCCTCTACGTATAAGCTACCAATGGTCATGTAATTGCTCTTTCACGTATACTAGTTTTCGAATGCTAAATTTTGTCCTACTATCATGGTCTATAATTGACTAAAATAGAACGCGTTATCAATTCTCGAAACACGACTGACATATTCGTAGGTCATTCGCAGCCTTGATCTTCCTATACTGGAGTATTTTTTATTAATCTAAAAAGAGCAGCAGTTTTTGTATACTTTACGTGCCTTATAAATTTTATCATATACGAGCCGAATCCACACACCCAGTTGTGCATTAAATATATAATTTGCACATATTACACAATCCTAGAAATGTAGTAGAGAAGACAAATTAGTATGCTTTGTTATATCAACATTGTAATGCAGAACCTAGATTGCAAATGAATATATGCAGTTGTGTCTATACTAATACAACTTAACGCAATCACAGAATACAAGAACATACGTGTACCGTAGAAATAGGACATGCACAGTACTATCTATTAATCATTACTAGATATTTTCCTGCTTTTTCGACCTTGCTAACCATAAATTGCTACATATTATGCTGTACTAGCAATATGTAAGTAATATCAAACAATCGCTGAAACTTGTCGTAGTAATAGGATATCAAATATAAGGCTCTTTAACTCTGAGCTTGTAATTTATCAATTTTAACTTTTTAATAGTTATTGATGATTGGCCACTGTATTGAGTAACGTTATTAAAACCTATATACGTAACTCATGTGTACTATTTATGATATAATTAATTGGGTGTATATGTATATATTTATGTTTTACAGTATTAAAATGTGGTGCTACCTTGTTTATATACAGTACAGTAGCCTAACAAGGTATCACGTATTCATATATAAGACGTGTATTCAACATGCAGCTGCTAGTTAGATTCATGCTTAACTACTGCAATGAAATTGTATTCGTACAAAGCAATTACCGAAATGCAATTTCAAAAATGTCTGGTAATAGAATTGGCTAACATTTCCTTAGATTGTATTTTATATGACTTCACCTGGAATTCCTTTCTAGTCTTCATTCGGCATTTTTATGTCTTACTCGAATTTGGCGACGTTATGTCAATAAGATGATTAGGAATTGTAATGCATTTTTGTCGTTGTGAATTTTAGATCCTCAACGCAAAAGAAACTTTGTTGAACATATGCTGGATTTGCTTATAATAAAAAGGCAGGAAGCTGGCAGACCAGCGGATTTAGATGTAAGTGCTCTGTTTCTGGACTCTTTGCAATAGTAGTTTAAATTATGCAAGCTATTAAAGAACTCTGGCTGTATCATTCTTAAGTTCGAAGTTGTTGCAGTATTCAAAGAATAGTCAACTTGACAATTATTGCTCTTCACTATGAGGACTAATTATACTATGACAAGCCCAATTGTTAGCAATAGGAAACTACCCCCAAATATGAGGGTACCGGAGTGATACAATGCTGACCTAAGATGTAAAATTTTTAAATGTTAATTATTAGAATGGAATGTGTACACTTGAGACTTTTGGGTCTCTAGTGTGTAAACAATGTCGAAACGGGTTGCCTTACAGCTGCATGTTTACAATTATCAGCCAAACTTACCAACACCCCTTCGGAATAATACCCCAATATGATATTAATCCACTTTTAACTAATAGCATGAGCACTCCCAGCCTTGAATTTTTATCACATGGGTACTGTAAGAGTTAGAGAGTGAATTAGAAGTAGAAGGAACTTGAGTTGTCTTTGGGTATACAATTTTGCCATTCTCATAGATCACGAATTTGTTAACGTTGCATGCTAACTAGTTTAACGTCCTATCGCTTTGCTGACAGAAATAACACAGTTCACATGTAATGGTTGTGAAAGCAACTATCTTAATGCCGTCCACTATAACTACTGATTCATGTAATAATTTTCTATTTGCAGTTAATGTCCACTAAGCAAATTCGAGACGAGAAGTTGCAACTACAAAAGATACTCTTAAAATATGAAACACACTTTGGAAAACCGGTAGACTCTATAGCGTTACATTTGAGAGGCTACTAGAGTAGTGAAGTTACCTTCAACAGTAGCTGTATATTTAGGACATGTTGCTATCTTAATCGATTTAAATAATCAGAAGAATGACAGTCTTTATTTTATGATACGCGAGGCAGTTTTCTGCCGAAGATAAGGAAATTGCCAAGCCCATATATGACAGATACAGAAAATTGAAGAAATTGCTCACAAATAAGGTTATTGCCAGTTTATATATAGCCTTTCATAACGTTATGTTTCAAAAGTACACATCGAAAATTAACTTAGAGATAGTGACAGTTTTCCACAATGAAGTTTCGATGGATTGTAACGTAGATCTAATAACCATCAGAAATCAACGCTATGCACTTTAGTAAGAAAATAGGTACTTCATTATGCACTGCAATGCGTGTACCCCTAGCCAACTAATTGTAAAACAATTAACAGTGAAGCAGAAATTAACGGTATTTATACTTTTGAAATGGAACACATGTAGACAGTAAGACTGTAGAACTAAATATAATACATACCGTAACATTTTAGGTTGTAAATGATTATAGGTAGTGACTTAAAGGACTGGAAGCGCCATAAATAACTAAAATTGATACATCAATCTATATAAACATGTATAGAAAGCTGAAGCAGTATTTATTCTTTCCAGTAATCTAGTATCACCGTTATCCTAATGCAATACAGTTGCATAGATTTCATGGTAGCACCCGTCACGTATATTGTTTGTTAACATCGAAAAAATTATGTGCACAGTATAACGAAACTAATATTATGTTATCGTAGGTCCCGGTATACGGTGATAAGATTGACCATTTAACGTACGTTTATCAAGGATGATCTATTCTTATTCCGATTATAAATATCTTTTATCATAATATATATTCTGATTATCTAATATTTTACTACATTATCGGGTAAAAAATTACCTATCTTTAACCTGCTCGTGAGCTAGAAGACACAATCGAGGTACTTCATCATCAATTTTCGTAATTTACATTCAGTATACCCTAAAGATGTAAGTAGATTCATGTAAGCGGTCAATCAATTATGTTATTTTTATCAGGTAACACCAATTCCTCTACGAATAAGGTAAACTCATTTACGAATTTTAAGTATGCGATACTTTAACATTATTAAAACCAAGTTGCATAATAATAATTTCTCGAGTAGCTCGAATACTTAAACCCTGTAACGGTACTGCTGTTTAGAGATCTGAGTGTCCCGCCGATGGCTTAATGGATGCTACAATCTCATCAACAAGCGGTCATGAAAGAACTAATTTTCATGTTAGCAGCATTTGCCTGTAAGTAATAGCAACGCTAACTGAGTTAAGTATGTCCCTGCAGAAATACAATCACTCTTATACGAACATGCCCATTTCAGAGCAAACTGATAAATATCGTAGTTATGTTTGAAATATAAGAAATTTTAGCTGCACTAAGCATTGATGATAATTTATACAGTTCAGAAGCACAAGTAGAACTAAGAGCTTGCAAATTGAAAAAGAAGTTATTGCAGAAAGAACTTAAACATTTTGAAAATTGCTTCTCGGACAAGAACGGAAGGTAAGTTGACATTGATTTACCGGTATCAACATGACAAACGGCATAGACTCTTCTTACCTAGTGATATTCCCGCATGGCTACTATCCATGCCTCTTATTTCGTTACAGAAAAGTGACAAAGCTTGATCGAGTCCCGCTGGCACAACAGTACCATGAATATAAGGTCTGCAAATGCAGCTTTGATGCTATAACTAGGCAAAATTCTTAAAATGTACAGCCTAAGTTCTGGTTAATTTATTGTAATAGATAATTCACTGCAAGTTATTTATAACTCTCTTATAAAACTCTAATAATTATATTATTATAATAATTAAATGCTTACGCTATCTTTGCTTTCAGCTCCTGAAAGCCAAAATTACGAAATTACGAATAATGATTGATGAAACTCAAAGTGCCGTTAATAATTAACTTATTCTCCCTTAATACGAAATGGGATCTGCGATAGCGATGCATCTTTATTGAAATAGATATATTTAAACCATCTGTATTAAAAGCTAGAAAATTTTATAACATATTTGCATGCTAATGCTAGAGTGTAGCTGGGGTGGCCTAGTTTACAGTAGATATTATTCGTTTAAATTAAAATTAATTAATACCACTTGTTAGTGTTTAATACTCTCTTAGTCAAGACTTGCCTAACACAAGACTAAAATATCTGCTTTATTGCATATATCCTATAGCTAGTAGTTACTAGAAGTCTATCCGTAATTATAATCAATTGCTGTTATATCCCCACATTTTATCCGTCGTCGAAGAAAATATCAAAAGGATTATATTTATTAAAATATGAGTGATCGATACAGTAATGTATAAATCTTTGTATTGGTAATAAAATTAATTAAAATACTATCATGTCTAGCTACTGTAATATGGCGATTACTGCAACGATACGGTAAACCTGTACCTTCAAAGTACTGTACATTGTACAGTACAGTACACACAGTACGTACTGTACAGTACAATACCCGCAAGCACTCACAATACGATTTGCACTTGTACTGTAGAGTACAGTACTGTACAGTACATACAGTACGTTGTAACAATTGCGATTGAGACACTATACCAAGAGGATATTTATAGCAGTAGCATTAATTGTTGTTTAAAGCCTTTAAAATATATACAATCATACACCATAACGTCAAAATAATTTCATTCTGCTTAATAAATCTATAATTTCTTATGCCTTATCTTTTACATAAACTGACGATGGATTAACAGTGAACTGTTGCAGTCAAAGCTCCTAACAGAGGTACGCTTTTGTACAGTATAGTAAGTATTTGTACTTTCTTTAGACATGCTTTACCTGCAATATGTAAATACCTATCAAAGCTACTGCAGTATAATTCTACGGCGGTGTAGTATGATACTTTATTTGAGCATGTTAAATATTATTAAGTAGCTTGCCCAGCACACTTTGCCGTGCAAAATATAATCTTGAACAGTACTTGGTGACTGTACACTGTACAGTACAATATCAATCAGCAGGAATTCATCAACACACGTATAGTAATACGGGACTGGTCATTATATGCACGTACTATTAGTAGAATCCACGCTCTTTCTGCTTCACGTATGTTCTTGTACTTGTTTACTTTACATCAATTATAACTATGCGATATTTCAGTCGCTAATCGCACTCAATAGTGGGTGAGGACTGCACCTATGAACTAGTCCTTAGCAGGCATAAAGGCGAACTAATATTTATAAGCGGGTGGGTTAGGATTTCTTCGTGGGACAGAATGATCTACATAGTTATATTATACATCATATTCATGTAACTTGTGTTGTTAGTACATACATCTCCTTATATCATATCTCTTAAAAAGTATTTACAGATAGCAACATAAGCAATCAAGAATGCCACGCTATCGTAATCTCTTAACATGCTATGTCTCTCGTACGCGGCTCATTCTCCATGGCGCTATTTTCCAATAAACTAATAAAGTTTCATCTCTCGTATTACATTCCTGAACCCGATATTGAATATACTGTATTACAGAAAAGACTAAAATTTTGACCGGATATTTCTCGCGTATGCTTAGCTATTACTTAAATAACTGTTTACTGTAGAGACAGAACAACTGTTCATAATTATAAGTGAATGCAAAGATGTATTTCAAATGTACTACTCGAACAAAATTTTAGCAGAAATCGGCTGCTTCTTATAAATATACGTACAGTACAAGTTATCTGAAGCCGATGCTGAAACTAATCTAACTAACAAGTAAAACCTACCTATATCAGCTGCAGAATGGAGTGCGCTGTAAAACAATCATGAGTAATTTTAAAACTATTACAATACTCTTACTATAAAATTAATGATAAGAAAGCAAACCCAATTTATGCTTAACACCCCATCTACAACAAGTATTTAAATCAAAAATACAGAAATAAACTGCAGTAAGTATTTAAACAGTATTCATCTGATCATGCCCGTCCCTTAAATTAATTGTTAATTGTCGTAGCTGTATCGATTTAGTCTACTAATAATTGCAACTGGTGAAACTATGTCAACGATTGTAGAATTATACACTTCAGTTGTAACATTACCGCGCCCAATGTATGATGCAGAATGTAGATTGCTGAACTTACGTAATACAGTAATAGCTTATAAATGTAATATCATAGCTGTCCTATATACAGATGCTTTGGTGAGTCTTTATACAGCACTTGGTTGATCTTCAGTACATAGTGGTACAATATTTGAACATTCAGCTACAGTAAAACTCGTAATAGGAACCGAAAGATCTGTATACACACCATGTTTATATAAATCTCTCTTCATACTAAGGGCTGTTACAATATAATATCTCAAATGAAACCGCTGTTTCGAAGAACCAGAACTGACTTCCATGCACGAGATTCTCAGCAAAACAGATAAAAAGTTTCCATTTATTGGAAGACTCTGTAACTGATTGAATTAGGCAATATACCAAATTCAATCCAGATTAATAGCTATAACTTTGCTTGACCCTGATTATTGCAGATTATGAAACGTTGTCCGCTATCAAAGTTATGGTACGAAGCATGTAAAGTTTGTGACGTGAATTAACATAATGGAACCCAACATGAACGTTTATGTAAACTTGAGGCTCTAATGAGCCGGTATATAGACAAGAATACTGTTGTTGTAAAGACATCTTAACTATAACAAGTATAAATAAATGTTTGTAGGATAGAATGTCAAACAAACGTAACGAACTTCATTTGCGTCTGTGTTGAATCATTTCTCGGATGTTATCTTCACTTTCTTTCAAGCTTTTTTCCAGGAAAGTTTTATTCAACTAAAGTTGAAAACGAAGAGGGTTAACTGTAAAATAATATGCTCGTACAATGTAAAAACATAATAGCATGGCAATTATAATCATAACACAGTAAATAACTGTGAGAAAGTAATTCATAGCCCTAAAGGTCAGCCATATTACAAAATTTTATACTCATAAATATTTTAACTTGCATTCAATTTTTCAATTTTATCGTTCGCGGCGTTAATCCGTTCTGCTAAAGATTTTCTGATATCCTCGATAGATTGAGATACGAATCTTCGTAGGGATAATAAAAAGCGAAATAATTTCAGCGTATATATTAAACCTATTCGTATTTCAATATTCTTTCCAGTTATTGTACTAAGCTATTCAATACTATACGTCTCATACCGACAAATTCCTGCTTATAAAGTAAAGAATTAGCAGTGTGCAATAACGTTAGTATAGTAACTAGCATTATCGCCCATGGATCACATATTTTATCTGAAAAGTTCCTGATGTTACACATACATTCTGCCTAAATTTTCGTAGGTTTTGATTCCTTTCGGTATATTGCTCAGCTCCTGATCAGTTAACCGGGCGCGGGTGATACCACGTTTAAGCTGATCAATTTTCGCTTCCGTTACTTTAACTTGCTGCGTTGTATCAATTACTTTGACTTGTAGCTCATGAAAGGCCTTTGAAAACAACCACACAGTAAGCAATTGTCGAGTAGATCCTACATTATATCTCACAATAATGTGTAATGCGCTTTCAATAGCAACGTCAAGTTGATCATACATGCTAGACAGTGTACTATCATATCTAGATTCCGTAAAAATATGGTAGTAATGACTTAACCTCTACTTGCTTAAGTTTGTATTTAAATAATTGTAATTAATGTAATATGCTCACTATTGGTTATTCATTTATACATAACATTAACCAAAAATAATTATCATCTTTTGATTCTGTCAAACTTTCAAGTGCCTTCTAACGATGAAGTAGTACACTGAATAGCAGTGTAGCACTGCACCGATAATTTTTGCTTGGTAAGTTCATGCAAGCCATTTATTTGAACATTTCATTTATTTGCAGTATGGTAAGAATAGCTTATCACTTTCAAAAATCTCCAACAATAATGCAGTCAGCATAGTAGATGATACCTTTTTAAGTTCTTCGTCGGCCATGTTAGTAGATGCTTGGCAATTTGAAGATATTATAATAAGGGTAATAATAATAATAATAATACTGTAATAATTAATTATATTTATTTATTATAATACTGTATTGCAACGACTTTATATTACTGTACTGTACAGTATACTGTACAGTACTGCACTGTACGTACAGTACAAGGAAGTTGTGATTTTAAGTTTTTACCTTCAATGTACAGTACAGTACAGTACAGTACGTACAGCAATGACCCAAACCGGATCTGCAGTACTGTACTTTACTGTACCGTACAGTACAGTATGAGGGCGGAGCTTAACGCAAGTGTCCTGTCTTGTCAACTGTACAGTATGTCTAGTGAATGAAATACTGTATGAATTTTAAAGCAGGTAGGAGGTAGTCGACTAGTTAAAAAGCAGTACAGTACACCGTAAAAAGGAAGTAAAACTGCCTTTGCATTTTTTTATTAATCTTACACTGGTATTGACTGTTACCTGATCGATGAACTACGTTAGCAACTGGAATGTAAAACACTGTATGCAATGAAATCTTTACGAGAAGCAATAAATGTTCTTTTTTCAAAACACGAATCTTGGCAGGTGTGTAACCTCAAATGCGTACATGTACATGCGAGTGCGAGTATATAATGTAATATTACCGATAACAAAGTACTTATTATTCGTAACTTCATCACTACCTTTCGGACAGTTATGCGTGTGATTATAATATTAAATTATATTATATTAATCATCTACACGATCTTCAGATATTAGAGTCTCTCCTGTACATTGTGCGCGTAACTTGCAATCGTATTGAGATTTAAAACATTGAATTGCTTGTTGCTTAGTAAATAAAAATAAAACAGTGATTTAAGACTGTCTCGGCCAATTTTATGTTTTATTCTGTAGGTTGTGTGCTATACCATAACAGCAACGATTTTCTTTTATCTTATTTTACGCTCAAATCCAAGGCGTGGTAAGTAGTTGCAACAATGATTTGCAAAATAATTAGCTTTCCCTTCCTTTTTAGGAATAATCTTAATCCTCTTGAAATTATAATTTATTTCGAAATGTGGTGGAATATGACAATACGCGCGTATCTCATGTGTTGATTATATAATTATTATGATTGAACATGGTCTGGTTACTATACACGAAAATGGCAGACGCACGAAGGATCTTTACCAAAACGCGACGATGGTTTTTTTATTCAATACGCCGGCTACCATACATTGGGAAGAAGGTATAAAATATCAATACACATGACAAGTTTGCATTTTAAACGATTACGCGTTTGCGTATTCTTTGCTCGTCAAAGAAATATGATTAATTATCATATTGTAAAATTTCTATATTTATCCGCGTTACTAGCGCGGTTTATTGCTAATGGAATATGAGGGACATAGTACACCACCTTAATTCTGTATAAATAGAAACCGCGTAATAAACTAGCTTGTACATAATGAATTACCAAATTATCGATGACTTCGTATCTGAGTATTTTAATCTCTGTAGATTCCTCGTATTCCAAAGTTCATCTCAAATCTTAATAGCTTTTCAGTATTTGAAGATTCTAAGCTAATGCTGTGCTCGTATCAGTCATTTAATGTGATTAAGTTATAAGATCGCTTTCCCTGATAAGATATTCCAGTGGAACTCTATATTTAAGCCAGTAATATTAAACAGTTTTTAGAATCCAGAACTAATGTAATCAGTAGAGTTAGGTGTCCAAAGTTTTATAATCCAAAATATCTTTAATACTGTACAGTGGAATAAAAAGCATAGTTCAGTGTAAATCTTAAAAAACTTTGAGAGTTATTTTTAAAAACGGTAATGTGCCTGTGAATAATCTTAATTGCAATTATGAGTCAGCAAGCGTATACGTACTCAGTAAACCGCTTAGCTGCCTAGTTGTACTACTGCATTTAATCTGAATTACGATTTCTGTAACAGATCCAGGACGAGATAGACAAAGCCTGTAAAGAACTGCAAAACTCACTTTTTAACTCTAAAACAGACCTTACTTATTTACAAAAGGTAAGGCTATTTATATTCTTATCCAATCGTGCTAAGAGCAATTGCCTTAACTGTAATTTCGAATCTTTTATATCCGTAACATTAAAAGCTTCCACACGCTGGAATGAAACACGTAAGTGCATTTAATTATTGTTTTAACATTATCCGTTGGAGTTGCATGTTACAGTAATTATAGTAAAGGAATTACTTACTCATTCCTAACGTAATCATTACTCCTACAATCCAATATACAGTATAAGGACAAATGTAACGTCACGCTAATTCTTACCTGCATGTATTGAATTTGCTGTCTTTAGGATGAAATATTTACCCTCATTGATAACTACGAACTCATAGGTATTACAAGATAGACCATAAGATAGACATTCCTTATAAACATTCCTCACTTACGAAGGTCTACGATGATAATGACATTTGAAGGTCAAGTTAACTGGAAAAAAGGAAATGTTTCCGGAACTGTTTATAATTACGACAAAGAGCTGACTAAGTTGATTACCAAGGTAAACATATAGAATTTATGTAAAGCACTCTCAAAAATCTAGTCACCTATTCAAGAACTATAACTGTTCGGATCTTAATTAAGCGTAATTACAGCGCTTACCGCACTATACAGTAACCGCCCATACAGTACCGAATTTAGAATATTTACATTGCCGAAATAGGTATACGAAAGATTCTTATGGAGTAATCCATTACACTCAGATGTATTTCCCGGAGGTAAGCCATGTATATTTTAATCTTACTATGTATAACTACTTGCTTCCAGCATAATATATTCTTAATAATAGTCAGCCTAACAACTGAAAGTAAACTCATGACCGCAATTAATTAGTGATCTTAGTCTAAGGCTGGATGATATATAAGAAATTAAATAAACGTAATTGTAACTCTACGTTTCAATGTTTACAAAATTTGCTATCAGTCGTTAAAATGGAAGCTGAAGTTATCAGAATGTGCTTAGGTCTATTTCATGGAAGCAGTACATCCTGTGGTTCGGTAAGGAATAGTACACGCTGTAAACTGTTAATTTATGAAAAATCCATTCTATAAAACCACAGTGAGTTCGGTACATCCTGTTAAGTTACGCAGAATTTGGTTTCAAATTCATTAGGGATTCCCAAAATCTTTTTCTAATATCAGCAAACTGCCCACTCTGTCTAGGTAACTTCTGGTGGAACTGAAAGTATTTTAATGGCTTGTCTCTCATATAGGAATAAAGGTTACAAACTGGGTATTTCTCATCCGGAAATGTTAGTAACTCGTGCCAAATAAGCATACTCTTTATTCCTCTCGTATTAAACTGCATATTACTACCGGAAATTATACACCTTGATTCATATTCCTGTAATACGCATTACCTCCTAGCGGATACTACATGTACTATACGTGTGTGTACCAACATTTTCATATCATATATATGCCTACATGCAAGTGTATTCTCGTATTTCAACAAAAATATAAATTGTTAAATTTCATGAACAAATGCTAGAGTCGCACCAGTAACCGCTCATGCAGCTTTCAACAAGGTAGAAAATGACAAACTTGAACATGACTGACTTTTACGTATCAAGACTTAATGTTATTTAATATCAAAGTAAAGTTGCTGTCTCCCTCAACAGGCATGCGAATATTTCGGATTGAAATTAATTTCTGTTCCTGTAGATACGAACTTTCAAGCCGATTTAACTGTGAGTGTTGCAGCATCGCAATAAAATTGCCGAATATCATACCTGCCCTGTGCTCGTTAACAAATTTCTCATAAATCGTTAGCTTTGAGACTATTATTACTTCGACTTCGTTGGCTTTAATTGCTTTTGCAGCACTATTACATAGCTGATGAACTATTACCGTATCATATAACCACCCAAATTGTTTGGTTGAATACACAACTTAGAAGCTGTTTGATCAACTCGCAGTAGCTGTGTATGTAGGCCGTACACTATTCACAGATGCACTTTATATACTGTACTTAACTATGTCTTGAAGGGAGGATCCGTTATAACGTTTTCACTACTTTGTCCATTGTGATCACTGTAAATTGAGAAAAATATTTGAAGTGTTTCGTTGATGAAAACCTTGTAGAAAATAAATGCAATAATTTAGATGCTCTAGTCTCGTCAAATATTATTGTACAAAGTAGACGCTAATTCACAAAGCTAACTAGCTCTAAAATCACCAATATGTGTCATACCTGTACGTACTGTACAATAAGAATTCTGCTCAAACGCGTATAAAATAATAAAACGTTTAAGAATAGCGAATACCTGTATCTTGGTATAGGATCTTTAATTAAGGTTCATATGCTGCCACTTGTAGAATTCGTAATAGATGCGAATATTTATTCCGTATAATTAATTAATCAATTGACGCATGCATAATGATTTCAATTCATGCGAAATAACTGATCTTTTCAAAAGCAGATACAAGATAACATATGCGAAATTAATTTTCTCAATTTTTAGGCCATGCGAAGGGCTATAACTAGCAACACTGTTTTGGTTAAGTATTTACTGTTTGACTCAACTTATCTGCTTGAATGTCCATAGACTAATATTTTGCATTATAATTGTTAGCTAGTTGCTTCAGCACCTCAATATCCGCATGGAATAATCGATGACGTTAAGAGTATTGCGCAAGTACTTTACAGATTAAACGTTTCTTGTCAAAGAAATTTTAATAAATCATAACATTTCGTGACCTTGTTGTGTAAACTACAATTATATTGTCTTACAAATCGGTGATCTTCTATTTCTTTGATTAATTGGCAACTCGTCGTTATACTGTAGATTGCTGTTTCTAGAGGAATCGGTTTTCACGTTGATTGTTGTCTAGGAGGATTTCTGCTACCATTTCTAAATGAAGCTGGGTACGAATATAGTATACACACTGCTATAATAAGCTCACGTACTAATATAATACATATCTTTTTCAAGGTACGATGATGTTCAGTTCGATTTTGCAGTTGAAGGAGTAACTAGCATATCCGCTGACACTCACAAGGTTAGCTTGGTCTTTTATGCGGACTATCTCAAAAATTCAATTTAATACGGCATTGTTATTTGGCTACGCTTCCTGATGCGCCGTATAATAAGCCCTTTTTTTCAATAGTATGGATTTGCACCAAAGGGTTCGTCTGTAGTTTTATACAGACATATAGAACAACGACATCTGCAGGTACTAGAATTTGCTACAGCAATAATTAATAAGTACTAAATACCAATTAAAACTGCTTAATCTAGACGAAACATCTAACAGATTGGATCGCTACAGTATTTTTCAGTTAGTGACTGGCCAGGAGGCATATACGCCTCCCCTTCCATAGCTGGCAGTAGATCTGGCGCGGTAATTGCTGGTTGCTGGGCAGCTATGGTCTCAATGGGATGGTCAGGTATATGTATAATTAGTGTAAAAGCTCACTTCTACTTTTAATAGTGTTTACGAATTTATGAAAGATCCACACTTGATGCTAAATGTAATAATTACGCCCTGTAGTTTGACATCATCTAACTTGATGGAAAGCGATTCTTAAGTGTAAAGCAGAACTTTAAAATTTTTTAATAGTTACTAGTACTATTACTAACTAGTGGGTTAACGTTTTAGCCACTTACACTCGCATACGTAAGGCGCCAAAACATCATTCAGGCATCACGTATCTCCTTTGGTAACACTCACGCGTTCGCAGTTCTAAATTGCGCGTAGTTTTCCTACCCTATTTTAATCTCTACTTTTCAAAATTTTTCACGCAAACCTTTCTGTAAGCAATTTATATCGCAGTATCGATCAATTCTGCATATGCAATTGCTCTAGCACTTTCTGCAGCATCACCTTCATTTAGTACTTCATTGCTTGCGTTGAACGTACGCGTGCATTGTCGAATATTCGTCAGCACTATAAACTGCATTGGAATAATGAGAAACGAACAATGCTGAAATGTTTTTGATAGTAATTAAAGCTTCCTATACTTGCTTGTGTTCCAGGATACGTTAAATCAACAAAAAAAATTATTAAAGCAGCTCAGAGGATTAAAGATCGGTAAGTAACTGTATTTATAGCGGTAATTAACTTCACATTGACATGTATATAGTGTATTTGTTGATATTACGCCCTAATCGATTTACTAAGGATTAAGGAAGTTGACGGGCTCTACGTTCTTGGTGACCCTAAGCTAAGTGTCATAGCAATTGGTTCCAAAGACTTCGACATATATCAGCTAAACCAGTTAATGTCAGATAAAGGATGGAATCTGAACGCTCTGCAGTTTCCCCCGAGGTGATCACTATTAGCCATTTGACAATAAAACGAATCAATAGCTAGAAGTTATAAAAACTCATAATGCTGCAAGCTTTTCACAATCTCTTTCGTTTATCATCAATGAGATAGTATCCACATTTGTTGCACCATGACCCATACCCAACCCGGAGTAGTCACCAAATTTTTAAGAGATATAAAAGAAGTAGCAGCACAGCTAATACAAGAACCACGAAAGACACCAATTGGATCTGTAAGTACAGTGCAATTACTGAAATGCTCTGAAGGGTAACTAATGGTTGTATTCTGCGTAGCTTCACAGCTGATAAACGTGATTTATGTTTATGAGCAAATCATTTTATTCCAGGCCGCAATGTACGGAATGGCTCAAACTATACCGGATCGATCCATTATTACAGACTTAACAAATGCTTTTTTAGATGGAATATATAAGACTTAGCACTATAGTTCATGTACTCCTAATTATATAATTAGTGAAGCATTTGACTTATTAGTATTATGTTTTATCCATATATAGTACTCTAGCACGAACACATAAATAAATACTCGTAACTTATTAAAAACTGAGTCAGGCAAAAGTAATGTACCTCGCAAATTAGTACTTTTAATAAGAATTTATCATCATCATGTATGGCAACGGGTAGGATAGTACGGTGGCATTCTTAGAATGCAACATACTGTACGAACAATTCTTAAATTCTGCAATGTGCCATTGTAAACAGTACATTCAAGTAGCTCGTAGACACGTAGATTAGCACGCAATCGTGAACGAATGCAGTACACTATCTTAAGCTTAAGAGTGATTTCTTACCTGAGCTTCAAAATAGCAGTTTACTACATCTTCCTATTCCTGAAAGCCGCGATGATTAGGAATCGATCTTATACGGGCGTATAAGTTCAATACCGAGCTGCTGGACGGGAAAGCAAGTTTATATTATTCAGACGATATTAATTCTCGGACTTGCTACATCTCGCGATGACTCATACTAAGTAGTTATCTGCTGCTAAATGTTTTAAATTAAATTTTATTCATGAACTGTTATCATGATTTTGCTTATAGTACACAGTATTTTCATAGCAAGGTTTACAATTTTGTACGTGCAAAATGATAAGTATATAAGATATATATTTGGCTGAACGCGTAGACTCCTAAAATTGATTTGCAATGTTTTGAGAAATAAAACTTTTTTGAAAGTGCGTATAACACTAATACTTCTGCTTGTGCAACAGCAACAATCTCTGTGTACCGTAGCAGCACGTTGCCGAAACTGATTGCGTTGCTTTGGCGGCACTGTACGATGTTCCGACATCTCTCAGTAGCACGAACTGTGGTCAGTATAACAGGCATTTCTTTTACTTCTATGGTCAGTAATGTAGGTCGCCGGTTCCCCAAATTTTAGCAAGATATGCTGTAACTTGTTACGCTGACGCAATCCAAATTAGGCCTAGGCCTAACCGCGTAATTTCTCGCATTTTCAGTAATTAAAAAGTAAATACTAAATACTACTTAGGGTAGTGTGCGATTGCCATAAGGAATTGTTAACTATTGTCACTGTATCTGTCACTACAGATCACCCGCTTCCCAGATTACTGGATTATCATGTCAAGGGTCCTAGCCAAGTAATTGCATTATCTTGCTTGCAGGAAATGATATTATTTTTATGATCTATGAATTCATTTAAGTAGATTGCAGAAGTAGCCTTAAATTTTGTTATCATACAAATCTTTAAGAAATGCAAAGGTTAAAGTCTAATTCGTTTAGTACTACTACATTACTGATATTGCTTGCGCTATAGGACTCCTGAAATCTCCAAACTCTGTAAATAGTGTACAGCATTATATCAGCGTGACAAATGAAGGTTCCTGTGAAGTAATGCAGTCAAGGACTCTTAAAAGCTTTTCAGAATTCCCGAGTACTGTACTGCAGTTAACGTTTGCTGTACGTACTTAAGACTAAATTAACCCAAAATCGTTGGTAATTCACTCTGAATCCTGCTATCTTTTACAAAATTCTGCTTGAAAGCAGCTGTATAAGATCATAAAATGCTTTAAATTAAGAGTAGTGAATAAAATAGAAATTTTTAAAAATAGAAAACACTTCAATTATCCAGACACCGTAAATCTGATTTAATTTAAGAAGTGTCCGAAAGCCCGATTTGTCTGGACAATCAAATATAGGGTTTAGTATGAGATTTAATACAAATCATATATCTATAACTTAAGGAACTGTTATTTATCGACAGAAGTAATAAAGTTACACGTTGATAATGCAGCTAAAGTAAGTGAAATACCTTATCGTTTTTCTAATACGCTATCATATAGCAAACATAAAACTACTTTTATGACCCGATTAGTTCGTCTATTGCGTTTTTTTCCTTCCTCCTTGTATAATACAATTTAGATGTTCAGACATTTTTACACTATTTTTAAATTGCGCAATCATCATTTTTCACGTACTGTATACTAGTACATACTCGTATATGTATTTTTTGATCAAGTACTCGATTAATCACTATCACGTAATAATTTTAGTCTTTTAATATTAATATTGCGATGCTTCACTTCATTTACACAGTATCATCTTCATTGCCATCGTCTTGCTTATCTACAGTGTTACTACGTGCCATTTTAGTTACTGTCAATTACGTGACTAATAGCTTCGCTTTATCCCACTTCTACTCCTTCAGGTATTTTTTAGTTACTATTTTATGTTATTTTTCACTCAACTATCCTACTAAGCACCCTCACTCATCGTTTTGAGTTCACTATTTCATCTCATTTTTGTCCTACCAATGTTATTTACCATTTTGCGTCATCATCACCCAACTATAAGGCTAACTGCCATCTTTTATTTTAAAGCTTCACCAATTCATCTTATTTTAACTCACTATCATCTACATGATTGATCGTTGTCATGTATTTTTAGATCGATTACTTCATCTTGATATCTATTTAGTCATGTTATTGTACTACTGCCTATCATTTTGCTCAGCCGCATGATAAGTCATCATCTACTATTTTAAGACTTGTTGCTTCATTTCATTTCTTTTCCCATCAAATTTTGCTATAGAATCTCATACCATTCTTAATCGACTATACGAGTAATCGTTATCGTCTATTTTTAAGGCTCCTCACTTCTATCGCATTTTTCTTTCCATCAACTGCACGAATCTAATTAATCGCCTTTAGCTATTCTTAAGAGATCGGCTAATTCATCTTATTTTCTTACTTATTTGCATGACTAAACGCTATATTCTATTTTAAGACTCGCTCCTTCGTTTCATTTCTATTCTATCAAATCTTTTGCTACTGATCCCATACTGTTTTTATTCAGCTAGACGTCTAATCGTTATCGCTTGTTTTAACGTTCGCTACATTGATCTCATTTTATTTGCTATCAACTGTATGATTAAAAATAATAATCGGCGTTATAGCGTCATCTATCTTTAAGATGGGCTATTTCGTTTCATTTCTATTGCATAATACTGTAGCTTTTTTACCATTTCATATCATCTTTCTTAAGTACATGAGTAATCGCCATCTTCTATTTTCAAGATTCACTACTTCATCACGTTTTTTGCTACTGAATCTTATATCATTTTATTCAACCACACGATCATAGTCGCCGTCATTTATTTTTAAGACTCACTACTTATTTTGACTACGGTACTTCGAGTTTTTTTACTCAACCGTATACCAGTTAACTACCATCATCTAATTCCTAGGTTTACCACTGATCTCATTTTATACTATCGTATTTTCCATTATTATGTCTCCTTTCTATTCCATCATACTTTTTACTTCTTCATATCATTTTTACTTAATTAATGATACGCCTAATCGCCATGATGGCATTATCTATTTTTGCTCAGTTTCAGCCGAGTAACTTTTACTAAAATTTTTTTTGTGTGCACTACTGTATTCGTCATCCTATTGTCTTATTTTTTAACGAGAAAACCCCCTTTTTTGTATTGTATTCGTCATCCTAAGGTCTTATTTTTATTAAAAAGGTGTTTCCTCGTAGATTGCCCGGAGTGTCGGGCAATCTATGAGAAAACCCCCCGCCCGAGCAGCTGTAAAATAATCCGATAAAGTGTCCAGATAACTTGTCATGCAGCAGCCGTAAAATTATAAGATATAGTGTTCAGATACATTGTCATACAGCAGCAGTAAAAATATCGGATATAGTGTTCAGATAACTTGTCACATAACAGCTGTAAAATTATCGGACATGGCGTTCAGATAAATTATCATACCGTACAGCAGCTGTAAAATTATTGGATACAGTGTTCAGATAGTTTTTCATACAACAGCGGTAAAATTTTCGGATAAAATGTTCAGATAAATTGTCAAACAGCTGCTGTAAAAGTATCGGATATAATGTTTACATAAATTGCCATACAGTAGCTGTAAAATTATATTATACTGCATAATATGCGATTCATATCCGATAATCTTACAGCGCCTGTCTGGCAAGTAATCTGAACAGTGTATCCGATAATTTAATAGCTGCTGCATGACAATTTATCTGCCATACCATAGTTGTAAAATTACATTATACTGCATAATATGCAGTGTACTATATAAGTGTATATCCGATAATCTTACAGTACCTGTATGACAAGTTATTTGAACAGTCTATCAGATAGTTTTACGCTGTATAGCAAGTCATCCGAACACTGTGTCTGATAATTTTACAGCTACTGTATGGCAAGTTACCTAAACACTATATCCGATAATTTTATTGCTGTTGTATGACAAGTTATCTGAACACTATATCCGATAATTTTCCTGCTGTTATATGACAAGTTATCGGAACACTGTATCCGATAATTTTACAGCTGTTGTACTACGATTTATCTGAACACTATATCCGATAATTTTATTGCTGTTGTATGACAAATTATCTGAACACTGTATCCGATAATTTTATAGCTGAATACCGCAAAATATAGTGGCATATCGTTAATTTTCCCTTCCTTTATTAAAGGAAACGTATGGATAGATTACCGAAGCTATATGGCGAGCAAAGCAGGGTGAGTGTCTCTAATGATGGTCACAATGTAATACTGTATCTATATTAGGGCTAAATCTGATGGTGGGGATGGCACAAGCAACAGAAGTAGTAACGTGAATGGAAAATAAGATAAATGAAAGTATGATGAATAAAAATAAATAATAGTGCAGTAAAGTAAATGAAAATAAGATGAATGAGAGTATGTATGGAATGTAGTCGAATGAAAATAGGTCATGAAGTAGTAAAAGCATAGAAATAATAAATGGCGATTAATGGTGGAGTTGAGAATTTATCTGAGATAGTTTTGCAGCCGCTGTATGACAATTTATTCGAATATTACATCAGATGATTCTATAGATAATAAATGATAATTTATAAGAGCATTACATCAGGTTATTTCATAGCTACCATAGATAATTAAT